ATTTGCATGCAATTAAAAACTAATTTTAAACGATGCGAAAGAAGGATAACTTCTCACGCGCCTACATAAGTACACGCAACCATTTTTTTATACTGCAAGCATGGTCCGAACATACCAAAAATTTTGCAAAAACTAATTACTGACCTACCTATTATTAATATGTAGGTAGTCACTTACATAATATTAAGATAAGTCAGTAATTAGGTAGGTATTGTAAAATAACTAGAAAAATTGTTAAAATATAATTCATAAGTAGTTTTATTTTAAAATTATTAATTTATTAAATCTGATAATATTAAAATAGATCCTATGTAAATTATTTTTTATTTATTTGTGCCTGCCCATATAATTTTCTCTTGTCTTCTATCTAATAAACCAACTGATGATTTTACTTCGGGGATAAAATAGAAAAGACTTCCTTAAATATTCCAAATATTGCTTCATTCTTGTTAAAAACTCATTGGATATTTAACGTTATATTCCAAATAACCCCAAAGTTCAAAGTTACGACATTATCATTACGTCTAAATAGTTCATGGTAATTTTTCACCTTTTTAGTGACCGTATGAAGTGAAATTGACATAAACTGAAGACAGCTTCTTTTTCTTTAAACCTTTTCAAATATCGCTCATTGGTTTCTTTACGAAACGGTCTCAAAAAATAAGAAAACCAAAAGCAATTAAGTCAGATACCAAATAACCTCTTCAATTCGATTTTTGGAACGGCACCATTAAAACCATGTATCTATAGATCTATTCACAGAAAATGTTCAATTATAGCAGTCATTTAGAGAAAATTGTAAGACCTACCCAAAAATAACGATCTACATTGATAAACTGCAGTTTTTTGTAAAACACTTATTTCATAAATAAATGTCCCAATTAGCCCCACTTTAAGAAGTTTCATGCGTCTGAACCAATTTCCAAAAAAATTTTTCCAGTCCTCCTCCTCTGCTTCTTCCGGCGATGAAAACTGTATCCCTTTGAGATGATTTTTATTTTAGGGAATAAAAAGAAGTCATTCGGAGCCAAATTAGGACTTTAAGGAGGGTGTCCCAAGACTGACTGGTGTGGAGTCCAGCAAGTCATTCGTTTTGATTGCAGAGTTCGCGGGCGCGTTGTCGTGGTGAAGAAGGACCCCGCAAAGCCTGTGTTAGGTCGCTTGTTGCTCATTGCAGAAAAAACTTCTGGCAGGCATTTGTGCTATACTTTACGGCGCTGATGCTGCTTTAGTCTCGAAGTGGAAATGAAATTAGGTACCCCGTCAAAGTGAAGAAACTAGCGATCTCTTCACTTTCGTAGGCGTTGGTTCCTTTTGAAACAGCCAAACTGTTGACTGACGCTTTGTTTCTGGATCGTATTGATAAATCCAGGATTTGTCACCTGTCACAATATCGTAAACGCGCTGTGACGAGCCTGCATCAATTTTTGTATCATATCAGTGCACCAATCCACACGGGCCTGCTTCTGAGCTTCGGTGAGGTTGTGCGGCACCCAGCGGGAAACTATCCTCCTTACGAAAAGGTGCTCATGCAACATCTTGTGAACACTTCATGAACCAATCTGTAGAGTATGCTGAATCTCTTCGTACGTAATTCATCTGTTTTCTATAATATAACTTCTTACTGCCAGCACACTTTCTTCGGTGACAGCCATCGTAGGACGACCACTCCTTTGTTCATCTCCCTAAGTAAGGCGACCGCTTTTGAACTCGCTACACCAGCGGTAGATGGTTGCTTTTGAAGGTCCTTCATCCATAAAAGCAGTTCGAAATCGATCAAATGACTCATCAGGTTTTAAGCCACATTTAAAATCGTAAAAAAAACACGCAAACACAGCGGTGACACTCTCTGTACGTGAGAGTTCCAGCGTCAGTGACCTTGAGCAGGAGCGTGTATGCGCTAGGGTTGAACTTGGAATTTAGACTTGTGCCCATGAATATTTATGCATACTAAGTTATTAAATGTAAACTGATTCAAGGATACTGGGGTAAATAATGAAGGATAGGTTTGATTTTATAATCAATTTTTAATCTTTTAATGTAGGTACTATAACAAATTGCTAACTTTTATATATTTTCTCCTTTTTCGATTCGTTTTATAATTCTTATTATTATCTAAATAATAATAAGATTGCGTAGCGTAGTCAGTCTGTGCGTGCAATGCAGTGCAACGCTATTATTTTACTATTTCGCTACTGCCATGCCTTCGGACGAGGCAGTCGGCGACTGCCCTTTCCACGTCCCGCGCGCCGCGCAACGCCCCCGCGCACCTCCAGACACCCACACATAGCCGCGGGCGATTTTACGAGCACACATGCTTAAGTGTCGCTTCTTTTCGCGTAGTGTATATATTCTGTGACGCAGATCCATTTTTAATGAGACAAGTTAATTGAAAATCGAACAGTGGTATTTTTACTTTTAAATAATCTAAGTTTTCAAATAAATTACAAGTGGCCAGTGTCTTATACATTAAAACTTGTTTACGCAAAACTTACTGAGTGACCTGGTATTTAAACATGCAGATGGAGCTGAGGAAGTTTCACTTCAGTCGTGTGGTCATAAGCACACTCGTTTTTTCATCCCATAAATCATCCTTTAAGGGGATGAACAGGAAGGAAGAAGTTTGTATGGGAAACAATTTTTTCCACGCAGATGAAATCGCGGGCATCCACTCATTATAACATAATATTAATCCAAGCTGTAGGTACAGTGACAACACATCGATACAATGTGTAATAGGTCGTGTGACTGTGATGTATAATTTCAAACCTTAGTTTTTTATTTGTTTTCCCGCTTGTTATTTCCTTTCTATTCTACTCTTCTTCTCCCGCCTTTCTTAATTCTGTCTGTACCATTCCCTACTCTTTCCCTTCTATTATTAAACCCATGCATCTCCCACGGCGGCATCACGAAGCCACATTGAGGACTCATTGGCTTGCGTACTTATTGTTAGACAATAATATAACTGCAACAAATACTTAAAAACACATGGATAGTTACAATTAATTAGGTACTTACGTAAATATTGTGTCGCTGTCCCGACTATACTTGACAAAACCAGAACACTGAGTAATGTGAAATTAAAACTTTCTATGTTATCTGGGCATGTAAATACGTATAGTTACTGGATAGCATTGACATAATTTTGGTAACTGGGTATGGCCGCAAAAAATTGTACAAATAACATTCATGACATCGTAACACACGTTACGTACATGACAGAACGTTAGATACATGACCATCATAAAGCTTAGTTCATAATAGAACCTATTGTAGTAGTTCTACTGGTACTAAATAGTTCTAGGCCTGTGGTGGTGATATTATATTTTTTTGATTAACGTTTGGCTTTAGATTTTTTCTTCATAGAATATTCTTTGGTTAGCCCATCTTCTTTGTAGTTTTCGTACCAAGAATGTGTTTTCATGAGTTTCAGCACACTTCAGTGATATTATCATTTTTCGCAGTATCTTTTGACTTCATTCTGCGACGATTTTGACTCGCCACTGTTTTCTTTTCAATCTTTTATTGTCTTCGGTACATTCCGTGGTTTTTTTTCTTTTTTTATTTTTTTCTGCATTTTTTTTTTTTTTTTCTTCGTACTTCGAATGATTTTGGGTTCGTAACTTTTCACAATATTTTGTTTGCCTTTCGGCATTTGTCAAAGGCATCTGGAATATATATTTTTAACTAATTTCATCCTACTAATATTATATATGTGAAAGTTTGTATGTTCGTTACTCAATATAGTATACACATATGATGTGTGCCAAATTTCATCAAAATCCATTGAGCCGTTTTTGCGTGATTGAGTAACGAACATATAAACATTCAAAGGATTCTCAAAAAACCAAAGTTAACTCTGACGAAGTCGCGGTAAGGTTATATTTTAAGTAAAATAGTGTAATCTCCGCCTTAGAATCGGTCATGATTGTAACGTTACACATTTCGTTACACATTGTAACATTCATGACACAAAAAAGCGTGCGACATGACCTAAAATTCAAATATCATTTAACTGCAAACAACTACGGATTGTGACGTAGGGTTACCGTTTTCTGTGATAATACATCTTTCTAAACACGTTAACAGTATACCACAACAAGCAGTACTTACCTTGCAATCAAACATACAAAAAACAATATTTATTGGCGACAAATCTGAAGTCAACACAAATTACGATTTTTATTCGGAAAAATATGGCCGATTTTTATTTCTGAATGTTGTATCTTGCATAATAGTGTTGCAGTTTATGAAAATAGCAAAAATTATCAAATCACATAAAGGAAACTGGTAGAAACAAACGTTACATTCATGACGTTACACACTCATCATAAAATTGGACACTTTTTTAAAAACGATTAAATATGTAACTGAATCGCTATTTTAATAAGCACGTATAGAAACACATTGAGAAAGTATCATAAAGCATGAGTACAATTTAATAATTAGAAAGAAACTATTTTTTTTCGGAATTATAGGCAATTTTTGATACAAAGGTGGTAGTTGGACAAACAATTTTTGTATGGGAGTGAAAGCACTACCTTTTAAATTATATTTTTTTTACATATATTTTTTAGGGATGGTAGGTTACATTTCGTCAAAATAATCTAAACAGAAGCTCGTCATTCAGAACAATGTTCAACAAATGACATTTATCAAATAACTTCGAAATTATGAGAAAAATAAAATGGGGACAAAACCAAAATGATATTTGTACAATTTTTTGCGACCATACCCAACTAGCATCAATTAAACATTTGGCTAAATAAATTGTGTAGAACTTACCTACGTGCAAAATTCAAGTCTGGATACGGCCCTGTATCTTACATAATTAGATAATTACCATCGTAACTTTCTAAGTTAGTTATATTCAAATGGATGGCTGCCAACGTACGGCACCCTAAAAAGTCATCGATTATAATAAAATAACGACGATGTTAAATAACGCAACGGAACGTGATTTTCGTATGACGTTGACATTTGACTTGACACTGACTTGTTTTGTTTTTGAGGTTAGAAAACTTAAGCTGGACTCTGCTTTTAGGTTGAGTGCGTGATACAAGTGTCCCTGTTAAATTTGTATTTTTCACACTTATAAGCCACTGTTGAGTTACTTTTACTTGTTATCTGTGTCTGTTTGTTTTTGTGTTGTATCCGGTTTGTGTTGTACGCTTATTCGGTATCTCAACATCCTCATACTTTAAATTCTCTTCCTACACTGTTCGATTTCAGTCACTCGTCGTCCTTGTACTTGCACAACACCCTGCTACACTTTAAGCAGAGTTATTAAATTTCATTTATAAATATACCGAACAAGCATAGAATAGACAATCCCTGCTACATACACTAGTCATTGGCTTAATCTTTAAAGAAGAAAAAAAAAACTTAAGCTCAATCAAAAAGTGCGTCGTCTTATAAAATATAACCAAAATGTTTAAAATACCGAGTTGGGGAGATGATGTGCCACAAAGCAATATTGCGTTTGGGAAAGCTACCAAGGTAAGATACAATAAAAAAACAAATGATTAGACTTAAATTTAGTCAACAAATAACATTCGTATAAACTCTTCTGATTTTACAGTTTCTGAAATAAATAATTTGTTAATGTGAAATATGTCCTAATGATATAATTTATCCCATTATGAATGTTATAGAGCATAAAAGATAATTCTCAAGCTATTGAACATCATAAACTGGCAATGTTTATTGTCAATAAGTTATCTTTTTCAGCATAAAAAACAACAAAATGAGATTTCCATCCCACCTTCGACAACAAAACCTGTAAAGTCATTGTTAAATAGTGGTGCACCCAAAAATGGAAAAAAGGAGAAGCATAAAAAACCTAAATTAAATAAAAATAACAATACCAGTCAAATTAGCAATCAGCAGTTTAGTAATATAAATTTAAATAAAAATCAACCAGGCAATAAAAACAATGCCAAATCATCTAGAAAGCGCAAACACAAAAACATCTCTGTAGACACTAATGATGTTAAAAATCATGTTGCTGTAAAGAAAACAGACAAAGTTAAAAAAAGAAAATATGACTCGGATACATTAGAAAACACTTATAAACAAGTTGAGGTTGCAGAAAAGGTAACTAACAGCATTAGTGCAGAACCAAGAAAGAAAAGTTTACAACCAACAAATAGCAAAATATATAAGAAGAAAGAGAGGCTTAGAAAAATTTTGGAAATGCAAAGCAACAGAAACCAAATTACTGTTAGTGGTAGCAACCTTAGGCAAAGAATGTTGGAAAGGCTAAAAGGTACTTTAATTTTATTAAATCAAACTTAATTTAAAATAAACACAAATCAAAATTATGTTTAAACTTCTCCAATACCTTCATTAATGTGAGTAAAATTATTGATAAGTATCAGATAAATTTAAATTGGTTACAAACTAAATTATTTTTACCTGAAATTTATACCAGGCATCTATGTATGTTTTTCACTGATTTACTTAATTATTTACCCCTGATCTGATCTTAACCTTTGCTTATCTTACCTACTTTCAATGATGAGGTGTTACCAGCAGAAAGAGTCTTTTATCGGTCCAAAAACAGTTACAAAATTTAATATTGTCACATAACGCAAACCACTGGGCCACTAGTAGCTCAATAGATGTTTGCATTATGCAAACCGTGAAGAAGGATATAAGACTATGAATAACAAAGCTATACAAGAAATATTATAGAAGATATTAAATTGTAACAAATATATCTAGGCCCTTATTAATATATCACTCTCAACTTTGAGTGTGATCTTCAGATGTTTTGTATTAAAACCATATTTCCAGATCATACTAAAGATCGCTCTCAGAGTTGAGAATGATCTATTAATATGGGCTCTGTGTTCAAACATTGTGTTCTCTTCAGCCGCTCAATTCAGGTTCCTGAATGAAAAACTGTACACTACATCAGGGTCAGAAGCCCAGAAATTGTTCCAGTCAGACCCTGAAGCTTTCCACACTTACCACCAGGGCTATCAGCAGCAACTGAAGAAGTGGCCTGTAAACCCATTGGACTTGATAGTCAAAAGGATAGCCAGAATGTAAGCATTATCAGATAAGTCTTTATATATTCAATCAATCATTAATATCATCCTTAATAAGCATGGGTATATTTTGTCTCAATTCCAAATTATTAAACTACATAAACAAATGTTTAAACATTAACGCTCTTATTCATAAAAATGAAAACAGTTTTAGAAGCCTGTTTAGCTAAAACACTGTTTTGTCTTGTTCTTTCTTAGCACTGTCTAGATTTGAGAGAAAATGACAAAACAGTGCAATAGTTAAAACAGGTTTATTAAACTGTTTTCATTTTTATGAATAAGAGCGTTGGTATTTTGTCACAATAACTATATTCACCCATAATAGACAGAGAACAAAAGAAAAAAAATTAATAGAAATATTTCTAACAATCACACCAATTAGCTTAGTCCCAAAGTAGTATACAGGCGTGTACGGAATACTAGGATAAGGGATATACGGATACATATATAAGTACTAGCTATGCCCCGCGGTGTTACCCGCGGTTTAATAGGGATATTTTCCCGCAATAAAACATAGCCTATGTGTTAATCCAGGGTGTCCAGCTTACTCCATATCAAATTTTATTAAAATCGCTCCAGCCATTTAGACGTAAAGAAGTAACAAACATACACACTGACAAACTTTCGCCTTTATAATATTAGTGTGATATTCTATTTAGAAATACATATAAATATCCATGAATTATCTACAAATGCTCGTATTTATCACACAAACATTTGCTCCACCAGGATTCAAACCCAGGGTCTCTTAGTAGTCGACTCCTTAAAACCTGGCGTACATACTACGCCGTCACGGGTGTCGTCGAGAATAAACCATAGTTAACTATCCAATACAGATAGTGAATACCTATCAACTGACAGGGCATTTTCGTGAAATTCGCCAATCAACACACGATTGGAACTTAACATTCAGAAGTAATTTTGATGATGAATATGAAACATCTTTTGGTGCACGTAAAACGTAGCGTGGCGACGCCCGTAAAATGCAATATATACCAGTGCTCAACTACTCGCCGATCAGTCCGGCGCCAGCGCCCTTCCACGCAGGACCTATTTCATTTTTTACCTCACGCATCCCGAGAACAATTCTCCGACTGTAATATACAGGATGGTCCAACTAGTGACGCCAACTATTTTTTTTTAGATTCCTCGCACCTGGGGGTATCCGAAAATACCACATGTATATTCCGCGATTTTTCTTAGTTTTCGAGATATTTTTTTTTTTGTGTATTTTTAATGATTTCTGCCAGCGAGGTTTCAAAAATTCTTATGTTTTTTCGTAGTAGGTATTTTGCAGTCTTTTTTTTTGTGACATAATTGTCTTGAATGTTGTTTTAATAAAAAAATAACTCAACTTCCTGCAATTACTTAAAGTTACTCAAGAAAGGCTTGAAAGTTGGATCTTTAGTTTTTAGTAGGATTTACTGAAACCAGGCAAACATCAACTTTACCAGCCAGGCGTCCTGTGACGACTCTCATTTTTATTCACTGTTTACTCCAGATGAGGGTCTTTTGTCCATAGAGGACAAGGAGATAGCACGAAACTTCTATTCTGCCCTAATGTTGCTACGCACAGTACAGTCGTTTAAATACATAATCTTCCTCCCTCTATATAGATAGGTGCCTGTGTAGAGTATATTTATTAATTAATTAACTGTCTCTTATTTCTGTTACCTTTGTAATTTTGATTTCTGATAAATTTTGCTTTAAAAATATTTATGTAATTAAAATAATTTAACACTAAAATAATTCGCACAAGCGAGGACTAGTGCGCGCGCTACTATAGCAAAATGATTCGCACTTGACCGTTTCTGTTATCTCAATCTTTTGTTCTCCACATTCCTGCGCCGGCGCAGCAGACATTCATATTTCGTGCGCCGGGCCAGTGCATTTATCGATCCCGCGGCGAATGCATGTCCGTCCTCGCTCTGCCCCCGACTTACGCGCAATCGCAATTATTTAATTTCTTATTTGTTCTTAAACTATTAACTTTTCTATCCTTTACTTTCTGTTCTGCTTGTGTCTGTGCCCGTGATTTCTTGTTTTTGCCTTTATATACCTATATGTGGGAAACTGTGGAATTTCAATAGACTGTTTTACCGAATTTTATTCGTTTCATTCCATATCCGCGTATGGTTTCCCATACCTGTATTTTGTTACTGAAGCGTGAATTGTGCAGTGTTCAGTGGGCCTATTCGCTAACTACTTTTGGCAAATGGAAGTGATAATCGCCGAGCCATTTAGGGATCCACTACTGCTTTATTACAACGCCGCTAAGATACTTATTCTAAAAAACATTAATTTCCTCTTTAGTTTAGTTTTTCAGGGCGGTTTCCGCACTTATTCCTAATTATGGACCATTGTGCGTGTCTCGAAATATTCCCGTTTACTCCAACCAGCCTAAGTAAGTCCAAAAGGAAAGCAGCCTTGGCAGACTGCTGCAAGCTTCCGGAAGCGATTCTGGCGACTGGAGAAGTCGTGTCCGTTGGTCGGCCACACTCCTGCATTCCATGATGACATGCTGTGGCGTTTCTTCTGCCTCCATGCATCCTCTTACAAAAAAAATGCAATTTCCTCTTTAGTTACAACTCTGTAAATGTCAAAAAAGTAAGCGATTATGCCGGCAGAGCGTAATGAAAGATTGGCGCGATTTGTAGAAATTTTTCTACTGCCCATCAGGCCTAAAACCCACTTGGTAGCCGATATGGGATGCGGTGAGGCAGCTCTCTCGAAACGAGTCCAGCAGAAGGTCCGTTCGTTCGACCTCGTGTCGTCGCAGCCCGGTGTCGAGACGTGCGACATGGCGCATACGCCTTTGTTGGCCGCCTCCGTCGATGTGGCGGTCTATTGCCTCGCGCTGATGGGCACTGACCTAACCCAGTACCTTGTGGAAGCCAATCGGGTGTTGAAGATGGGGTGAGTCAAGAAATGTTTTCGTCTTTTATCTAATGTGCTTTAATGTAGGAGAAGCTCGATGGCGCAGGTGGTTAACGCGTTCGGCTGCGATCGTTTTAGTTAAGCAATTTTCGCAGAGGTCGGTCATTGGATGGGTGACCAAAAATCTTGTATCTCGAGTTATTCCGTGCTTCGGAAAGCACGTTAAGCAGGAGGTCCCGGCTGCAGCTGCCGTCATTAGCACCCGCCAATCCGCACTGGGCCCGCGTGGTGGGTCATGGCCCAATCTCCATATTTCATCCATGGAGAAGGCCTGTGCCCCAGCAGTGGAGACATTAATTAACCCCAGGGGTACGCGAGGTTGCATCAAGAAGAAAGCGCAGCAATCTCTTAACTAAGATAGCTTAAGCTATTTCTTGGAGTGGTACTTAAAAGAACTGATCTGAACTATTGATCAAAGTCATCGTCGTGCAATGCACAATATATTGTCACTATATAACAATAAAGGTCTAGCTGAGTCTTTGCAATTTTTAAACAATCTCAACTCATTAATCTACCGAAATCTGTCACCTTATCGACCCGTATTAAAATCATTCCAATCATTCACCATTGTTTCAGAGGGCATCTTCTTATAGCAGAAGTAGAGAGTAGGTTTGAGAAAGTGGAGACGTTTACTGAAGAAGTGCAGCGGCTCGGGTTTAAACTGAAGAACCTGGACAAAAGCCACCAGGTCTTCTTCTTCATGGAGTTCGCGAAAGTGAAGGATCCGCCCGCCAAGAAATCCAAACTACCAACATTAACGCTAAAACCATGTTTGTACAAGAAGAGGTGAATTAAATTGTCAACAACTTATGTTTCTTGTTTTATTTCTCATTGTACCTTCTCATGGTACAATGAACTGCTGAAAAGCATGAAATGTAGCAGCTCTTGGTTTTCGCGTGGATAGTAAGTTTAAACAGCATTATATTATTAAGCTATCCCATACAGCATCAATAGGGTATTTCATTCTACTTGTGAAAAAATCAGATCTAAATGTATTATTGCGATAGTAAATGCAAAAAGGAGTCGGAAAATATTAGTTTCAGTTCATAAAATAACAAAATGCATTTTAAAATTCAATTCGGTTTTTTCAGATATTTTAATCTGTTTTAAAACACGATGAAATAGTAGACGTAGTAGTCGCCATATTATTACGTCACACCGCTAGTATATGCCAGTGTCAGCTGTCAACTTAGTACTTTTAATGTTTTCGTAACCAAGACAATGCGTTTTTTTACAGTACTAATGACGTCAAGACCGCAGACCAATACAGCGTCCACTGCGTCCAGCTGTTTTGTCAAACTACGCGAGAAATTTTAAAATGTTAAATTGAAATTAATTTCAAGGCATTTAACAATTGAATAGAAGTTTCGTTTTTTTTTAGTAGCATATTAGCACTAGAATTTATTGTGCATATCGTGCCTAGGGTTGCCAGGCCATAAAATGCAAAGGCCGGACTGCGCACTATATAAGGCCTGACATTTTGCCCTAAAAGCCGCACATATTTATTATATCAGACAGCGGGGCGGGGTGGTCACGCTCACGTCACGCGCCGCGCGCGCTAACAGTTTGCTCTCTTGTCCGCTCGGACGCTCGTCCGCCCATCGTCGTACGAATCGTCACTCTGACAAACAGCCTGACAAAAGCCGGACAGGCCAAACACGAACATATTTGGCCGGACGCGACCGCAAAAAGTCAAGCATGTCCGGCTAAAGCCACCAGACACCTGGCAAGCCTAATCGTGCCACGCGCAGTATAGGATTCCGTAGTTGCTCGTCGTCACCACAATATCTTTTGGAAAGTCTATATTTCAAGCAATTACTTTGTCTAAGTCACTTTTAATATTTTCTTCTAAGGATTTTTTTTTAATTTATTCTATCATTTTGTCCGCATGATTGATATGCATATCTCTACAAAATCAGTCTCCAAGCACAACCGGGGACGGACAAACAGACGGACATGACGAAACTATAAGGGTTCCCTGTCAGGACTACGGAACCCTAAAAATGATTAAAATACCCTACTTTACTGGCATGATAAAAATAAAGCAGAAAATGTACCCATGAACCAAGACCACATGTAATTTTTCTATTACTGCAGCTACGTACAAGTTTTGTTATTTATAATCCTACAGATTTTTCCAGGATAAAGAACATCGTATATGTCATTCAGATAAACCCGATCTGTGTGCCCTAAATCCATCCAAATCCGTTCAGCCTTTTGCGTGCTTGTCTAGAATTTAAAGATATTGAGGAAAAATAAATAAAACAAAGAAAATTAAATTAAATATTCTTTTAATATTAAAATGGCAAAATTTCTATTTACATTATTTCTATCACATTTGTTACCTGATTATTCTTATGATAATATCGTCAATTTATATATGTCATCGAAATATAATAAATTCTGTAAATTGATCAATTACCTAGGAAATTGATCAACTTTCGTAAGAATGTAAACGAGAGATAAAATGTATTATCTTACGGGAACATTTTCGTAAATTGATCAATTTACCGAGATCAGCCGTAAAATAATACGTTAGTTGATGAACAAAAATTTTACATAGAGCTGCAAAAGTTTTATAGTGGACATGACCAAACCAGTGAAAAGTCGGTACTTATGGAACGAACAAAAATTTAAAAATTTGACGAAGGTATTATAGGTTATAACTGTACTTCCAAGGCCCAAGAGATGATACTTGATTTCTTTTTTTTTGGAAGTCTCTTTTAACATACTTTTTTTTCTGGCGCTTCGCCGGCCGCTGCCGCGGCACGCTCGCTTTGCTCGCTCGGCTCGCGCGTTTTGGCCACAACACTAACATAACCTAACCTAGTATAAATTATCACCGCTTGGGCCCTGGAAGTACAGTTCAGTACTTTAGCACACTTATAGGCACTTATACAGTCATCTTGTTTATGAAAATATTTGCACATGTCTGATCGTACCTAAGTCTATGACGGCAAGCACCGAAGTCGCTAACAGCGACCAATCAGAAAGCTGTGTATTATTTTACGTAAATTTTAATGACGTAAAATTAAACTCTGTTCTGGGATTGGTCACACTACTTAGAATTTTACGTTGATAGGTCTTGAAATTTCAAGTTACTTTATCAATTTACCGCGAGACGTCGTAAATTAATCAATTTACGAAAATGTTCCCGTAAGATAATACATTTTATCTTTCGTTTTCTATCTTACGAAAGTTGATCAATTTACTAGGAAAAAGATAAACTTACGGAATGAATTACATTCCGGTGACATATACATGTGAACACTTTTTTATAGCTTTTACTATGCAATACGAGATTTCATAAATTTACGTAATTATTGTAATGAATTAAAATATATATTCTGTATACTTACCTATCTTTACAACTTCGAAAAACTAAACACTTCATAATTTATTATAAAAAAAACTTTAACTGCTTCTCGTGTGTGCATCTACGTTTACTGGATTTTTTCTTTGGTTGAGATTTGATTTGATTTTAGATAAAGATGAATGATGTATCATCATATATCATTACAAATGTGCGTTTCATTCATTAATCAAAATTATTTAAATTGGGCAGGTACAGTTCTATGAAAATTGAGGCGTTTCATCTAAGTGTCCACGTTCGGTGCGTCGTAGGGTTCGACTTACAACAGCTAATAATTTATCCTTCTGACTACATTTTCGATGTGCAACATCTTTCCTCTCGCTTTCCTGCAATTTGTCGGAGTGATTTCGTGAAATAGGACGGAAGTGTGTAACAGGAAGTCACGAAAGCGCGCGCTATTTGATTTTAAAACAATGTTCAAATGGCTTATTCCTTTTGTAGAAGGTTTTATATCTTTTTTTACTAATATAAGGTGAGTTTTCAAATGTTACACATCATACGCGACTACTGTAAGGCTCGCTAATTTTTTTTAAAAGTCCTGCTAAATCTTTTATGTTTACGAATCCTACGTTTTCCAGTGTGGCCTCTCGGAGGTAACGCAAATTCATTAGAAATATATAACAGAATTTAAATTTTAATACATTATTGTAAACAATACATTATTACATTCCAAAGTAACGGAAGAGCGAATATACAGGGTGTTACAAAAATACAAATAAAGCTTGAAGGGCGTTGAAGTACATCATATAAGGAGTCTTCTCTAATTTTCTTAAAATATTTATATATATTATTGCATGAAGTATTAACTTTTTATAAAAACAGTTATTTTTAATGATCCTCGAACTAGTGACGAGTCTTAAAATGATCGATATTTTTATTAATCATTAAAAATAACTGATTTTATAATAAGTTAAAACTTCATGCAAATATTTTAAGAACATTAGAGAAGATTCCTTATATGATGTACTTCAACGCCCTTCAAGCTTTATTTGTATTTTTGTAACACCCTGTAATTAGTAATTAGATAATAAGTTAGTGTCAATACACTGGATGAAGTAGTAATTACGTACTATTCCCAATTATACAAAACTGCATCAATAAATCTAAACTTTCAAATCTTCCATCACATCTTCTGCTTCGGCACGAAGGTTCTCTACCTTTTCTATTAATATCAACTGCACATAAAAAAAATAAACAAATATTAATTAAAAAAAAAATACCGTCCGTCAAATTTGGATACAGGGTCTCAGTTAATCTACGCGTCTAATGAAAACAAAAGGCGTCATAATGAAAAGAAACACCAGATAATCATTTTAATGTCATATCTAACGAATTTGAAATAATATGGAAGCATTACTTTCTAATAAAGGGCTAATACAACATGGTTTCAATCTCATACAACAAAACTAATATATCAAATATATAAGTTTCGTTGTATGAGATAAATCAAATTTCTGCAAATGAATTCGATAATTGGGTTTCATTCATTGGGTAAGATAATGTTAAATGGAAATCACGACTTATCCCATTATCGGCGTGTTGATCGCATTTTTGTCACCCCCCCCTCCTTCTTAGATTATAACAAAAAGGGAAGATACGGCAGTCGCGGCTCAAAAGTGATCTGCTTAAATTGTAGTGCATGAACACGATTCGCTTTAGTCACAATTTGACATCCAAACACGCTACTTGTGCACTCAATATAACAATATTGCGTATATTCTGTGTTATAAGGATAAAAAAATGCCTTCGATGCTTTTATAAAGAACACAAATAGTGCAAGATCTTATAACAAATTCCACGGCAACACTTTTAATTCATAAAACTATAAAATCATTTTTTTTTTTCACAAAAATTACGGTTTGTCATGAATGCTATTTACTTTTTAGCACGAACCAATAACGTTGCGAATTGTAACGTTTGCGAATCCGAAATGTCATTCATTGTCAAATGTGTACTGAGTTTTAATTCTCGTTACGTACTTTGTGGCGCTGTTGTACAAGTTTCCATACAAAATTTGACATTGACATTTCGCACTCGCAAACTATTCGAATTCGATAATGGTTCGTGCTAGCGGTACAATTCTGTCTCGCTCGCTCGATTGAATGTTATTTACAGACGCGTGCGTGTGTGAGAGTTGCTTATGTAGTTGAGTCGGATCATATTTTATTTGATGCTAGTATTAACGTACCGTATCTTCCCTTTTTGTTTTAATGGCGGTGGAACTACTTTTCAACGCAGTTCGAATTCCTTATAAATTCTAATTCGTTGCTTATACAACGTTATTAAATACCCTAAATACACCAACACAAACAAAATCGTGGCCGAAACCCGTCCAAAAGGGACATCGGACGATCCATGGAGCCCCGTAAGATGATCGCTTAGTCAAAAACAATATTAGACATTATTTAAACATTGAAAATCACCTTTGATGCATATTACATAAGGTCTTAATCAAAACGCATGCATCAAAGAGTTATGACAGTTCGAAATGCTATATTTATTGCTATATACGGAAGAATATAGACCTTATTTCTTTAATTTTACTCGCAATTTTGAATGCGCTGTTAGCAAAATAGCAGGTACGGACGTGTTGTATTTAGGGTACTTAATATCGTTGTGCTCATCATACTAACCCATCACAGTCTCAAGAAATTAAATAAAGCTTGGCCTAAGGACCCTAAAATGATGTGTAATGAAAGCACGTACCCTAGCTGCGCTGATGAGATGGGTGGCCGTGGTCCGGGTGAGATGGTCCACGGATCCGATCAGATCGTCCGCAGATGCCTTCGCCAGGTCCTCGATCCGCTTGTATCCAACGCGCATCAGTTGCATCGCTCGAGCCTGGATATATAGTTTTTTTTGTGAATGCGAATGCTGTTGGTCGCAGATGACCTTTACAGCGTCATCGGGTTTTGGGGACGGCGATATCCTAAGGGGACCTCAAGCCGAGAATTGGCGAGTGCCTCTTGAGGTATTCCAGGCGGATGACATCTCCCCGCAGGGGGGAGTCTCCTCTCCGTTTGGAGCCTCTAGACCACTCGAACCTGAGGGGGTCGGCTCAACTAGAGGGCGTTTCCGAGACTCGGACCTCGGCTTTAGTTAGTCGTTGTCGTGGGGGAAGGGAAAAACGCCCAGGTATAGCGTGTCGTGTGTAGACCACGATATATAGAGATCATCATCAGTCTATTAATGTCTCCACTGTTGGGGCACAGGCCTTCCCTATGGATGGAATGCCCAATGTCTCCACATTGGGCCGTAACCCACCACGCGGATCCATTGCTGATTGGTGTCAACGACTACGGCTGTAACCGGGCCCAATGGTTCAACATGCCCTCCGAAGCACGGAGGAGTGAGAGATATTAAATTTGTTGGCCACCCATTCAATGATCGACCACTATGAAAGTTGCTTAATTTCAACGATCTATTCCGTTTGCTGCGTAGTCCGCGTGGATTTTCTTCTAGTAAAATTTTCTTAAGATTATGCTTAAAAAATAAAAGAAAACGAGTGTGCTTATGATCACACGACTGAAGTGAAACTTCTTTAGCTCCATCTGTATGTGCATGTATTTACATATTTCATTTTCTAGCTATAAGAGAAGAGAGAAAGAAAATGTGCGCGCGCACTGCTTTCTTTTGCTTATACCCCCCACTCATCTTCCGTTCGCCTCGCCCGAACACACTAATCGTAACCCGTAACGCATTCGCCAGCTTACCCCCCAAGTCAAGCGTGCGTAAAGAAGTTTCAGTTAAAAAATTATCGCAACTGATATGATGTTAAATACACATGCCCCTCATTGGTACTTTGTTTTTCATACTCTCAAATAGCTTATTTGAAACTAAACTGTAGGTCTCCGGGAGGTCCCTCTGATAGTTACCGACCTTCTTGACGGACGGCAGCTGCATCAGATCATGAAGCGCAGGCGCGGCGCAGTGCTGCAGGCGCGGCGCCAGCTCCTGCAGCAACGCGGGGAACCAGCCCAGCTTCAGCTCCTGGCAGAACCGCTGCCCACAGGAAGCGAATGCCGACGCACTGGATAACACTGACTGCACAGTGCCTCGTGCCAGGCAGTATCTGACCAATTATCATCATCACCATCAGCCTATTAATGTCCCCACTGCTTCCCTACGGATGGAATAGGGAGATTGGGCCATTACCCACCATGCGGGCCCAGTGCGAAATGGCGGGTGCTAACGACTGCAGATGCAGCCGGAACCAACGGCTTAACGTGCCTTCCGAAGCACGGAATCTGACCAATATAAAATCAAAAAGTATAATCTTTTCTTAAATAACCTAACATTAGGCGGTGCATAAGGCATTTGGAATGGAGCGGCGCACGCATCACACATATATATATATATGTGTGTGTGTATAATATATATATATATATATATGTATAATATATATATATTTAAATTGTCGCGTGTGACACTAGTAACGCATTACCGTTTTATCTTTTCTATAGGAATTTTCCATCCCGCCCGAAAACAAGTTTCACTACAATAACGTGTTACGTCACGGCATTACCCGGATGTCTTATCCCCGGGATTAACGATATTAAATACCCTAGATACACCAACAAAACGTGTCCAAAAGGTACATTGGATGACCTTAAGATGATCGTGTGGTCAAAAACAATATAAGGCATTATTTAAACATTTAAAGTCACCGCTATGCTAATAAGATCTCAATTTAAACGCATGCGTCAAAAACTTATGATAGTTGGAAATGCAATCTCATAAAATTTCACGACTTATTGCTATATGCGAAAGAATTTACTGACTATGTTTTTGACTTAACGCGCAATTCTGAATGCGCAGTTAGGATATAGCAGGTACGGACCGCGAGAAAAAGATTCGGCTATACGCAACGTATAACCGATCATGCATTTGAATATCAAAATATTTTATATTAAATCAGTTTATAGTAAATTAACAATCATTGATAAGATACCTGTCGAAAACACGACACTTTTTGTATTTTTTCATTTATGTCGCATTTTTTCACGTAGCTCTGGGGCATCTTGACTTTTTTTACGATCCGCGCGTGACTGTGAACCAAGAAGTGCTTGAGTGGAGTTCAAGCACTTCTTGATTGGGACACATTTTGAGGGCTCGTGGTGTATCTAGGGTATTTAATATCGTTGCCCGGGACCGTCAAATGGCTTCAACTCAATCCGAAAAACCAATCCCCTTTTTAATAAACGAAAAGAAACCTTGGAGTAGTTGTAGTGTAATAACAAATCGCGTTTGAATGATACGAACAAAACACAGTGTAACTAGTCTAAGTTTATTCTTCATTTATTAATGAGGGGGAATACATGTTAGATGTTACTTTAAAATTGCAGCAAATCAGCGTATTGCATCGTTTTATTTTAGAAGAAACTTTATTGCGTAGGAAAGTAAAAGTAAGTAGTATGTAAAAAAAAAACCGGAGTGCCGGCAGAAGTGATAACCTGAATATTAACATTGTCCATTTTTGATATTTTGGAATGGTTAGGGAATAATTTTGCACAAATTGCTTTAATTACTACCTACTGGACATTGGCGAAATTTCTGTGTAAAACGGAGAACGCCACAGAAAGAAGAAAAAAAAATATCAGTATACAAGTACTATCATGTGTGTGGTAGAATACAATATTTATTTATTGCGCTATCGTACACAAACATGACAATTTACATTAAAAAAGATTATCTCTCAGAAAAATCAACTTACATGAATCACGTTTAAGCGCACTTAGCGACATCTATTGTAAAGAAATCAACTTACATGAATCACATTTAAGCGCACCTAGCGACGCGTATTTAACATTTTTTACCCATACAAAAAAAGTGTACAACGCCGCTAAAGAAGTTTTCACTCCAAAAAGTAAACTATTGGATTTAAAAGTTATAGAAAATCATTTTTATCGTGAAAATATTGAAGACAACAACTGACCTAAAACTAAACTCGGTATACTAACTTGTTTTAAAAATATTTATGAAATTTAAAGATCACAAAAAAATTACTTACTTATCGGCGACTGCTGAAAAGGGCATCTCTCTGCAGAGGTCGCGCAACATCAGCGCGAAGTAGAATCTGCACAACACCGACTCCGGAATATTCTAAAGTTGCACAACATTAAGCTGTGAAACCCGTTTTATTGAATTCATTTTATTTCTACCTTTTTGTCCAACTTAAAGTTCAGATATTAATCTCTGTTCACGGAAACGGATAGTGTTAGGATTTCTTTATAACATAATACATCGTCTGCGTTAATTTTAGTTTTTGAAAAACCCCCAGAAACCTTACACTTATCCGGGATAAAAACTATCCTATGTCTCAACCCAGTTCATAAACTATATGTGCACCAAATTTCATGAAAATCCATTCAGTAGTTTTTGCGTGATTGAGTTACAAACATACAAACTTTTAGGGGTTGAAGTCACTCGGGTCCGTAGGTTTACACTAGAGACCCTACACGTGACCCCTGGGTGGTGCCAAACGAGTGACACTCGGAAGAGAGGTAGGGCTGAGTACTACTCCAAACTGAGCTGCCCGACTGGCGAAATACCTCCACCTGGCAGAAGTCTGCAGCCAAATATCACCTCGTGATGTGTTCCTGCAGGTGAGCCTGGTTACCAGAGCTCTTCAAAGGAGTTGCTGAGCCGTCAACAGAGAGACCCGTGAAATCTCAAATCGCTTTTGAGTGGAACAAGCGTGGCGTATTGGCACGGCGGTCAGGGAGACCCGGTGAAACGGCTGACCGCTGGCCGCCCGCAAGCTGAACGGGTTCCCGAACCCAGGGATCACGTAATCTCCGCCCTGGGAGGCTGAACCGCCAGTTTGTGTAAAGTCCCTGAAGCAGTAGTCGTGCCGGAGGAGGAGACCGGAGTGGACCCGACTGCTGTAACAGGTGTGGACCGGGGGCCCTTCCGCCCGCCGTGCCAGCTTTCCACATAACTTGTCTTACTCTCTTGCGAAGTAATAGCACAATTGTCTCTTATGTTGATGGCTTAGTGATTTCTTTCTACCTTTCACACTTTTCTTATAATTATGGCCAGAACAAAAAGGAATAAGAGATACTCAGCGGCATCCTCTTCCACATTTAAAGTGGACTTTTGCAACATCAGAGGACTTCATTCCAACATCAACGCAGTCCATCAGCTTCTGGAATCTGCGCAGCCGGCCCTGTTATTCCTTACGGAGACACAAATATCCAGCCCGGCCGACACATCCTACTTACACTACCCCGGTTACAAATTCGAGCATAATTTTGTACGGCGTGCCGGAGTTTGTATGTATGTCCGGGATGATATTTGTTGTCGCCGCCTTAATGGCCTTGAAGACAGAGACCTGTCAATCTTATTGGTACGTGTGGATTACGACGGCCACATCCGAATCTACGCTTGCCTCTACAGGTCTCACAGCGGTGACATGGACACAACACGCATGTTTGACCACCTGCGAATGGCGACAGACAAAGCTCTTGAGCAGTACCCATCTGCGGAGTTAGTGATTTTGGGCGATTTCAATGCCCATCACAGTGACTGGCTTAGCTCTAAGACCACTGACTTTGCGGGTAGATCTGCTCATAATTTTGCTTTGGCCTATGGACTCTCTCAGCTGGTACATTCTCCTACGAGAATACCGGACATAGAGGACCATACGAGCTCTTTACTGGATCTACTGCTGACTACACATCCGGATGGCTATTGTATTTCAGTGGATGCGCCTCTCGGCTCATCAGACCACTGTCTTATCCGGACCCAAGTGCCATGTACGCAGAAAGCATCACTCCGTGAAACTGGACGGCGACGCGTCTGGCACTATAAATCAGCAGACTGGGATGGACTGCGTGAATTTTACGCATCGTACCCATGGAGACAGCACTGTTTCACATAAGATGATCCTGAACCCTGCGCTGCTGCCGTGACTGAGGCGATTCTAGCTGGTATGGAATGTTTCATACCAAACCCACTAGTTGCGCAGGGGACAAAGAAACGGCCGTGGTTTAATCTGTCTTGCAGAGAAACTTTTCTGGCTAAGCAGACTGCGTATGAGGCTTGGACTACGGCTCGTACCAACAAGGATAACAACATCTCTGATGTAAAACGGAAATTTAATGCTGTTTCAAGATCCAGTAAACGAGCGATTGCCAAAGCAAAATTCGATTTTGTTAGCAGAGTTAGCGAGCGGCTCGCGAAACATCCTGCTGGAAGTCGAGCATTCTGGTCGCTTGCAAAAGCTGCAGAAGGGAATTTTTGTCAGTCGTCATTACCACCCCTCCGTGGGTCTGATGGTAACCTGGTCCACAGCGCAAAGGAGAAAGCCGATCTATTGGGTAATCTCTTTGCCTCAAACTCGACAATGAATGACGGAGGCGCCGGACCACCTAATATCCCGTGGTGTGGTTATTCCATGCCGGATATTACTATTACTCAACGTGGAGTCCGGCGGGAATTACTCTCTCTTGATATTCAGAAGTCGAGTGGACCAGACGGCATTCCTGCGGTGGTGCTCAAGCGGTGTGCCCCTGAGTTGTGTCCAGTATTAACGCGCCTTTTCGCGATTTCTTACGCCTCTAGGAAAGTTCCAACTTCGTGGAAGATGGCCCATGTGCACCCTGTGCCAAAAAAGGGCGACAGATCCGACCCGTCGAATTACAGGCCAATAGCTATCACCTCCCTTCTCTCCAAGGTTATGGAGCGAGTGATTAATTCACAGCTCCTTAGATACCTAGAAGAGCACGAACTTATCAGTGACCGCCAATACGGTTTCCGTCACGGTCGCTCAACTGGTGACCTTCTGGTCAAGGTGAGGCTGATGATAGTAACCTGGTTCAATTTAACCCTTTGAAGACACAAGTTTGCGCGTTCACCGCTAAGAAAACCCCTTTTACTGTAGTCCCTAAATTTCTGAACACATCTCTTAATATTACTAAAAGCATTGGGATCCTTGGTGTCGACATCTCCAGTGACGTGCAGTTCCGAACTCACTTAGAGGACAAGGTCAAGTTGGCATCTAAAAAGCTCGGCGTCCTCAACAGGGCGAAGCAGTACTTCACTGCACAGCATAGACTGTTGCTATATAAGTCATAGATTCGTCCTCACATGGAGTACTGCTGCCACCTTTGGGCCGGAGCACCCGAATACCAACTTGCACCTTTTGATTCGGTTCAAAGACGCGCTGCGAGGATTATTGATGATCCCAAGCTTACAAGCGGTATAGAACCCTTAAGTCTTAGAAGAGACTTTGCATCTTTATGTGTGTTCTACCGCTTGTACAATGGGATGTGTTCAGAAGAATTGTTTGACATGATGCCGACGGCGTCATTTTACCATCGCACCGCTCGTCATCGGCAGGGAGTTCATCCACATACTTTGGAACCACACTGGTCGCGTACAGTGCGCTTTCAGAGGCACTTTCTCCCACGCACGCTGAGGTTGTGGAACGAGCTTCCTGTATCGGTGTTCCCTAGAGACTACAGTATGGGGTTCTTCAAGAAAGGTATAAAAAGGTTTTTGCAGGGTCGGCAACGCGGAAGTAACACCTCTGGTGATGCAAACGTCTATAGGCTGCGGTAACCGCTTACCATCAGGCGGGCCGCATGCTTGTTTGCTACCTTAGTGGTATAAAAAAAAACAAACACAAACTTTCACATTTATAATATTAGTAAAAGTGTTTATCCTATAAATGTAATGAAACCCTAATCACTACATAGTATAAAGCAAAGTCGCTTCCCGCTGTCTGTCCCTATGTCCATATGTATGCTTAGATCTTTAAAACTACGATAATAGATAGAGTGATTCAAGAGGAAGGTTTATATGTATAATACATGCATAATAAAGTAGAGAAACACTGATAATTTTAGAGGTTTTTAATGGTAGGTCGTAAATAAAAACATTTTTTTGCGCTTACATTGCAAACGCTGGCTGAACCCTACGAGATAGATCAAAATAATGTACTATAAATTGTACACATTAAAAAGGTCTTCAAACAAGTCCGCGATGGTATATGTCTATCTCTTAGGGATACCCACAATAACCATTTTTTATCCTATACTTTTTACGAGAAATAATTGATTTATTAACGAAGCGATTTTTAGCAATATAACATTCATCCTTATCCAATTATGTACCTTTAAAGGTACTATATTAAATGCACAATACTATATTATTTATACATTGTGCATTTAATATAGACCAATTCGGCCCTTTAACGCATGTAATTTAAATGAATATTTTCGAAGATATTACAGATTTAAAATGCAGGGACATAGCGGTTCCGACGCTACTTGGCGGGGGGCCTGGCGGCGCGTGACTATTGTAATTAGGTATTAGAAAAATGTCATTGTGTATAATACAAGCCTGAGAATAAAAACTATAGTCTACACTACAGCTCTACACCAAAGCGAAGCGAGGGCGGGCCACTAGTCATTAAATAAAACTAGTTTCAACGGGTAAGATGCACTGATTTTATTTATCATTTTTTCATTAAAGTTCAATATTATCGTGCTTACCGTGATGGGCTTTCCAGTCATCATCCTGATGGCATTCACCTCCGTGATGCCCAGCACCTTGGCGGTTCGCATCCCTTCTTCATCCAAGCTGTTGTACTATAGAAAAATTAAATTTATCCGACATTTCTCATGGCTAAATATAAGATAACTGAACATCACTCAATTGACTTTGACGACCTCCGTGGCCGAGTGGTTTCTACGCCAGGATTCATGATGTCGCCGACTCGAGAGGTCCCGGTTTCGAATGCCGGTGGGGGCAGATGTTTGTGTGATGAATACGAGCATTTGTACTCCAGTCATGGATGTTTAGTAAGTATTTCTATATATATATACTTATATATTTACTGTATATGTATTCTATCCGTTACCCTAGTATCTCATAACACAAGCCTTACAGTGCTTACTTTGGGGCTAGGCTAATATATATTTTTTTAATTACACCTTAAAAACGCATGAGGGCGGGAAATTTGGAATCGGGAATGTTACTCAGAGTGAGAGCGAGAGTTACGAGAATGGCCTCTGAACTTCTGAAGTATAGTGAGCAAGAAACCGTGAATCCAGACAGGAGATCATACCCCAACATTTTCAAAACTAAAGAGCTTAAAGTTAGGAGATTGTAACAACGTTTTGAACTTTGGTCTGCTCTGTAGTATAATAGTATAGTGGAAAAGAACCAGGTCTTTTTAATTTTCTTGCTTTTTATTTTTTCCAAATCATTGGGTCGGCTGGAAGAAATCGCTGATTAGCGATAAGACTTCCATTTGCGCATCTGTAATTGATCCTTGTTTTGTATTCTATTTGCATGCTGTATGTTTTTATCTTATCTACTATCATCGAAATTGAAACCATAAGCGTCTTACAATCCATTTAATATGAAAGTTTAAAACATTCAAACATTCACATTTGACGACCTCCATGGCCGAATGGTTTGTGTGCCGGGTTTCATGGTGCCGCCGACTCGAGAGGTCCCGGGTTCGAATCCCGGTGGGGACACATGTTTCTGTAATGAATACGAGCATTTGTACTCCAGTCATGGATGTTTGATATGTATTTCGATATAAATATACTGATATATGTACAGTATATGTATTCTATCCGTTTCCCTAGTATCCCGTAACACAAGCCTTACAGTGCTTACTTTGGGGCTAGGCTAATTGGTGTGAGTGTTGGAAATATTTATTTATTTATTCTCACCAGAGAATAATAATGCCTATAGTCGGGTTTGACCCCGGGGTCAGCGGTGACCAGGTACAGCAGATGCAGCCCGCCCATCAGCACGAGGCTGCGTGAGGCCACCTCCACTTCTGACAGAAACCGCTTTGCTGTACTCAAATCCATACCACCTGGGGACATACACTTTTACCTAATAGCTGGCTGCTTGAAGTATCGATTTCGAATGATTTATTTTAGTTTGGTATTACAATATATCATGCTGTGATAGACGGAATATCGAAAGCGCAAATTGTTAACATCTGCAAATAGGCCACCCAATGTTTCGAAAATAATTCACGATAACCGACATAGTGGTATTTACATTTTTATGAGAGCTCTACTCTATCTATATTTATTGCAATTATTCCTAAAGCAGGATTTCTTTCAAAAAGATTGTCTAATGATAAATAAAATGGGACCGATTTCAAAGCCCCAAGGTACACCTAAAGACGAGTCAAACTGGGATTATATATCCGTCAGCACTTTGACATGTTCGGGAATATACAACTGAAGCCAAAATGGAAAGGTCTTGGCAATCCTATAAGCCAAAGTAGGATACGGCGCAGCGACCTTGTCATAAGCTTCGTTGAAATCAATGTTGATTGACTCGAACTATGTTTTTATTATTATTATGTAAGTATGACTAAGAACACGAATTTTTGGATACAGGTCTTTCCACTTGGAGTAGATGTTATTACCGATTAAAATAATATCAGCATAATCCAACATACTGACAATATTTTATGTTTGATTTTCTATTTACCATCATGCAATATTATATACAGATATTTATATCATTGTAATATATTTTTGAGACATCGAAAGAAATTAGTACAAGGTATTCCAAAACATGAAAAAATTTAACTAAACAAAGATATTTTTATCTACTTATTCTATTGTTAAGTTTGAGTTATATTACTTTACTATGGTCAAAACTATTTACCGAGTGTCTCGTCAACAGTTTTGAGACACTATTAAATGTTTATCCATTAGTCGTATTTCTAGAAACTGTTCTCAAATTAAATAAACAATATTTCTTACCTTTCATGGCTGCAACTCCCAGTTTGCTAACAATGAATTCTGAACAATCACTGACATCATTTTCTTTATTTGAGTTTTGGTGATTGTTCCTCACCACCTCTATTGCGCCGGATTGAATCAAAGACTTCATCGACTCTTCATATAGTTCCTCTAGATTCACACCTGGGCTAAATAAAACAAGGTAGTTGTCTAATTATGCATTGGCATTAAATTTTTTAGTCATTACAATTTACAACATTATTTATATACCTATTGAATAGAAGACATACTGACTTTAAAATTTATATTTTTAATAATTACTATGATAATTGATTTATGGATTGCTGTGCTAATGCCTAAAGCTGTTGTACATAATGTATAGCTGGTTCATGAAAAGGTATAAGAAAATAAATTGTACGCATCTGACAAAAATGGAAACGATAATTAAATTATAAGACGGTTTTAAGCAATGAAAAGCTATGAATTATAATGTTGATAAAGGGGAAGAGAATGACAGTAAGAAAGTGAACAGATGTAGACAGATGAATCAGTCACTTTTGATAATAAATTATACATACTTTGTTTTCTAGGGTTCGTATTACAGAATGACAACCAAATGTTGATCTTTACTTGTGTACAGTTAGAAAGGGACGGGGCTTTATATAGCACATATCGACACCCCTTTCTAACTGTGCTCAAGCTGTAATACGAGCCTAGGAGTCGCCTACTCAGAGGTTCCGAGTACGAATTCCAATGGGGCAAATGTTCATTTAAATAATGAATACAATCATTAGTACCTAAGTCATGGCTGTTTATATATTTTTTTTATAAAAAAGCACTCATAGTTATTTTTATATGTATATTTCTATCCGTTACCTTAGTATCCCTTAGCACAAGTCTTACAGTGCGTATTTTGGCGCTTGGCTAATTGGTGACAATGTTCCAAACGTATTTATTATTTGTTTCAACCACCAAGAGTTTGTCCTTCGAGCCGGATACAATTTCTTTCACAACAAGAACTAAAGCATAAAAGTAATGCTATGACGTTTGAGCGTACACTCTCATAGACAATAGATTAGCGTAAAGACTTCCAAACAAAGTATTACCCAATCAAAAAGTATTAGTGGCGTGTTGGCAGGTTGCATTTGACATTAGAACGCTTTTTGATTCAAGTTATTTTATTTAACGTATCCTATTTGATGTTAGCTAATAATAAAACTATATTGTGTATGGAACAAAGTAACATGAAAATACAGGATTTAATGCTAGTGTACAGTGTACATTACCATTTGATCTTTTCAGGTGTATACACATTTATATTACACGTATAGGAACCATTTGAATATTCCTACTTATATTCTAAATACTCTTGGATACTATAAAAACATTTTTGGCTAAGCCAATCCTTAAATACTTTTTTAATTTAAAATGTTTTAGTTCTTTGAACTTGTTTGGTAATTTATTGTTAATTTTAATGCACAGAATAAAAGTGCTTTTAGCTGCTAAAGACAATGTTGTAGCAAGCCTATGGTGCTTATTTTTATAAACTGAGCGTAAATTTCGATTAGTTATTTGATGATTCTGTTTATATAGATACTTATTTCGGTGTACAAATGTACATATACAAGAATATACAGGCAAGGCAAAGTCAACAGCTTTTAGTTTCTAAAGTAAGTTTCACGGGAATCAATTTGCTTCAAACCAAGTATAGCACGAATACATTTTTTTGTATTAAAACTATGAACAGAAAGCTCTATGAATAGAATTACCCCAAATTAAAACTCCATAGCTTAAGGTAGAATTTATATAGCCATTGTTAGCTGTAATATCAGCATTTTGTGATACAATGTGCATTTGCACGTGCAAGAATTAGTAATTGACTAATTCTTGCAAGTGCAAATACACAGTGTTAAAATTGGCCTAAGAACCAACACCAATTTGGCATTTATGATAATTCTTAGAATATTTTTTGCGATAATTATCAGTATTTAGATTGTGACGGACACTTCCAGTTAAGTAAGCTAAATTAAAAAGTTAAAAAATAATCTGAGACACTAAAAACCATTTTATGTGTATAATCTATGACAGCGCTGCAAAAAAACAGTCTTTCTTCCTAATGCCGGCACTTGGCTATTCGTATTTGCTATTTTAAAACATAACATCAGTCTGTCCTTTTCATTCCTTATTAAGCATGACAAGGACAAACTCTGTGGTTGTGATGCAGGCAGTTTGCATTCGTAGTAATCTGTGGGATACGTGCATTCCAAAGAGTATTAAATTATACCGAAAAATGCATTCTCGTTTCGGATTACCTGTTGTGTGTGTGTTTATTTGCGATTGTTTTTCCTTTAATTTAACTATTTCGGCTATTTAACATGCCATCGATTTTACCAAAGAGCAGAGACCTTATTACCAAGTACTAGTGAACCTGTGCCACAACATCCTGAGAGGATCATACTGCCAAATTATTCAAGAACCTGATACACATTCACGCTGCATATTTACACAATATACATATGATATACAAATAAATACAATATACGATATGATACAATTATGTGAAAAATAGTCAATAAATAAGAAGCAAAACTACAGTTTTTATTTTATTAACCAAGTTTTTCCTATATAATAGTTATTCTTTAAAATCGCAACGAATAAAATGAATTAGTTGTAATATTAATTCACTTTATACTAAGTTTATCAGTTGTCCTATGTTTCATTGAATTTTAAACATAACCTCAAAAAAAAATATTTTTCCTAATAATTTAAGTTCTCAGAAGTGTCCGTCAATAATCTTTGTTTTTACAGTCATTTACTTGCGATTTCGAACCAAGAAAATAATATTTCATGGTTGTTGGTTCTTAGGCTAACTATGTATGGACGCAGAACAATGTCCTTTATAAGTTTTGAGCAGATTTCATGTATATGTTGATTCCAGTCACGGAATTTGTCTAGAATTATACCCAAAAACTTTGTTTGTGAAATATTTTCAATCATTTCACCATTTAAGCCAATATTAAGTTTAGGATGGTTACTTTTATAAGTTTGTAGGAAGGCCAAAGGGGAACCCGACTGATGTTGGTCGGGCATCGTATATTTGAAGAGTTAGCCTTCGAATTTCATTTGCGCGATGTAGGCTTCCATACTAATATTGATCGCAGTGCAGGTAACGCCATCTCTTGAGGATGGTGAGTAATGATTTCCTACACCGTTGCATATCTGTGGGGCATATAGATGTCGCCGCCACATCACTCCCCTCCGAGACCGGAGGTCGATAGTCAGTGTTTTCAGCAGTCAGTGCGTCAGTCGAGCTTGCAAGTGCCAGTATGCTGCAGGATGCCCCAGTCTGCGGTGATTAGAAACGGGTGGGGTGAAGGCGCGTCGCCAGTGCTGCAGAGTTGCTCCAGTCTACGGTGAGTCGAGACAGGTGGAGTGTGACGGTGGGTCCGAGCTGCTGGTGTGCAGGGCTGCCACGCCGATGTGCTTGCGGCCGACAAGTGAGGTACCGGTCGTGGGCTGCGGAGACCAGGTCGGGATGATGCCTTCGAGTGCTGCCGAAGGTCCAGGAAGCGTCGTTGAGAGCTGCGAAGGAACCTTGAGGTTGATGCTGGCTTGCTGTGTGGCTGCTGATGTTGCTTGACCTGATGAGGAAGGGGTATGAGGTTTGATGGCTGCGCTGCGATGGTTGAAGGTGGCTTCTTGCTGCTGCTGTGCTCAGTCGAGGGTCACCAGTGTATGAAGGCCAAAGGGGAAGATCTTCCTCCGAGCTGGATGATGGTAGCTCGGTGGCCGCGGTCCGACTGATGTTGGTCGGGCATCGTATATATGTAGAGTTAGCCTTCGAATTTCATTTGCGCGATGTAGGTTTCCATACTAATATTGACCGCAGTGCAGGTAACGCCATCTCTTGAGGATGATGAGTAATGATTTCCTACATCCGTTGTATATCTGTGGGGCATATAGATGTCGCCGCCACAAGTTCCTCAAACTGTATTTTGTTTCTTCAATGTTTGGTTTCAAATTGTTAAAATTAAGCCATTTAATTATTTTAAACAATGCAGAGTTAAAATTATTTTCATATGTTTTGTAATCTTCTCCTTTATTACCCTTAAATATAATTATAGTATCGTCTGCAAACAAAATACATTCATGGGCCACAACAGCAGGCAAATCGTTAATATACAACAAAAACAGCAAGGGACCCAAAATGCTTCCCTGTGGTACACCAAATTTATTTATTATATACGAGGATTTATATTTATGCAGACATATTTTCTTTTCTGAACAGTATCTGTCTGTTACTACACACTGTTCCCTATCTGATAGGTAGCTTTTTAACCAGTTATAGCATGGCCCGCGGATACCATACTTAGGTAAATAGCTTTGATAATAGTCGCATATGACATACGAAATACTAACGTCAAATGGGATACGTTTGTATGGCTGTACGCCCGCCGTTCATAGCATGGTACATAGCAACATATATTTGTAAAATATGTAGGTTATATATTTCATATTTTTAATCATTTAAGTGCTTGATGTTTGAATCTAAAGAAAATGTTACTAGAAAAAAATCCGAACGGGACTCGAACCCGCATAACGGTCAGTGCATCCATTTGGATAGCAGAGGGTGCTATCCAAATGGATGCACTGACCGTTATGCTACCGCAGCCCTTACTTAGAATTTTCTAGTATTTCTTAGGCTGCTAAGGCAGCGCCATCTCTTCGCATCGTAGGTAATCCCTGCTGACGAGTCCCATCTGCGGCCTGGTCCGCGTGGTTTTCCTTTCTAGTAACATTTTCTTTAGATTTATGTAACTTTATGAGTTAAATTTAAACTCCTATGCTAGTTCTCTTCTAAACAAATTGTATGACAGTAAATATGACCTGGTAGCCAGCAGCGTAGAGGCCAGCAGTCGTCGCAGTTTGAGCGGGTCGGCGGCCAGACGCAGGGCGGCGGCGCTCAGCATGAGGGCGGGCAGGGCGCCGCCCAGCTGACTGGAGGCTGCCCCCACCCCGCCCTCCAGCACCGTCCTCAGCCGCGCCCACTCCCCCGCCCCGCACATTATAATGCTCTCCCCTGAAGCAACACCACATCATGAGGGCGGGCAGGGTACCGCCCAGCTGACTGGAGGCCGCCCCAACCCGCCCTCCAGCACCGCCCTCAGCCGCGCCCACTCCCCCGCCCCGCACATTATAATGCTCTCCCCTGAAGCAACACCACATCATGAGGGCGGGCAGGGCGCCGCCCAGCTGACTGGAGGCCGCCCTCACCGCGCCCTCCAGCACCGCCCTCAGCCGCGCCCACTCCCCCGCCTCGCACATTATAATGCTCTCCCCTGAAGCAACACCACATCATGAGGGCGGGCAGGGCGCCGCCCAGCTGACTGGCGGCCGCCCCACCCCGCCCTCCAGCAATAACATGACCTATGAGGGTGATCGGTTGGATACATACCGGCCTCGCAGACGCCAGCGCGGCCGGCGCGACCCGCCATCTGTCGGTAAGCGGCCAGCGTGATGAGGGAGCGCCCTACATGAGGAGCCCGCACTATGACGCGTCGCGCGGGTAAATTCACGCCCGCCGCTAGCGTTGACGTACAACACAGTACTGATATCACGCCGCTCCTAAACAAAGACAATACCTTCAAGAGGACCAGAGGATTTCTCACTCAAATCACAACGCAAGTCTGGGGGAGTATCCTCTATTATCACATTAGCCAAACAACAACGATTATGTAACGTTTCTGTTATGATATCGGTAAACCAAAATTTTTGTTAGTTCCGTTTGTGTCTATATTTATTCTTTTACTCTTGAAAATTGAGTAGCCATATCTTTTTAACTTGTAAAAGCGTTTTTTTTGCTAGTAGTAAATGAGAATAGTAACCATTTATAAATTATAGCTTTCAGTTTTTCTAACATAGAAAATAAATCACCTAAACGCCTGCTCCAGCATCGCCCGTTCATCGTTGGCGAGTCCAGCGTGGTGAAATGCGATCCCGTAACGAACCAGCCGTGCCAACTCCGCACTAGCTCCCTCTGACAATAACGCTTTCTCCAACGCCACGCGTTCCCGCGTACGGTGCGAACACATCTCTCTATCAGGAAGATACGTTCACAAATGAAAAAAAAGTCATGAAATAAGGATCCGATACAGTAGGTAAATACAGCGAAAGACAATGAGAAATACATAATAAAAATAAATAAATAAATATTTCCAACACTCACACCAATTAGCCTAGCCCCAAAGTAAGCACTGTAAGGCTTGTGTTACGGGGCACTAGGGAAACGCATAGAATACATACACTGTACATATATAAGTATATTTATATAAATACATATTAAACATCCATGACTGGAGTACAAATGCTGGTATTCATCACACAAACATCTGCCCCCGACCAGGATTCGAACTCGGGACCTCTCGAATCGGCGACACCATGAAACCCGGCATACAAACCACTCGGCCACGGAAGTCGTTGGTAGAAATGTAACTGTAAGAATATGTGGCGGCTAAATCTACATGCCCCACATATAACCAACGTGGAAGAAATAATGACGATGAGGAATAGTAAAAACGACGACCTCCGTGGCCGAGTGGTTTGTACGCCGGGTTTCATGGTGTCGCCGACTGGAGAGGTCCCGGGTTCGAATCCCGGTGGGGGCAGATGTTTGTGCGATGAATACGAGCATTTGTACTCCAGTCATGGATGTTTAATATGTATTTCTATATAAATATACTTATATATGTACAGTATATGTATTCTATCCGTTACCCTAGCATCCCATAACACAAGCCTTACAGTGCTTACTTTGGGGCTAGGCTAATTGGTGTGAGTGTTGGAAATATTTATTATTTATTATTATTATTATTAATAATCACTCGTTTCCTCAAAAGAGATGGCGCTACCTGTGCTGCAATCATAATAGTATGGAAGCCTACATCGCGCAAGTGAAATTCGGAGACTAACACTCAATATATACAATGCCTGACCAACATCAGTCGGGCCGCGGCCCCTGAGCTACCATCACCAATCTCGGAGAAAAATTTTCCCTTTGGCCTTCCTACAAGTATAAAACGCGAATCCTGACTAATATTATGAATTCAAAAGTGATTTAATTAGTTTTTTTATAAATTTACTTTAGTAAATGTATAGTAGGATCCTGCCCCCTAGCATGAGCACCGCAATATGATATATAATGCGTTTTTATCATGCCCAATTGTCAAATTACTACGGAGTTTGACCGTTAAGCGCGATAAAAAACGTGATATAATGTAAATTGTGGTGCTCATACTACGGGGAATGGAGACAATAAATTTATCGGCTACTTCTTATCGTGAATATAAAACTTAATGAATGTGGAAAATTGCATGATAAACCACGCGAACGAAGTCACGGGCGCCTGCTAGTATCTGTATAAAGATAATTTACATATTTCTCACTAATTACGATATTTTCAAACTAATTCTATAAACATGAAAATGAACTACCTAACGACCTCCTTGGCCGAGTGGTTGCCGCCGGTTTTCAAGGTGTCGCCTACTCTAGGTCCCGGGTTCGAATCGAAAAGTTTGTGTGATGAATACGAGCAATTGTACTCCAGTCTAATATACTTAAATATGTATCAGTATATGTATTATATCCGGTACCCTAGTATCCCATAACACAAGCCTACAGTGCTTACATTGGGGCTAGGTTAATTGGTGTGAGTCTTAGAAATATTTATTTTATCTACCGGGCATGTTAGTTAACAAATATGTGCGTTATTGAATTACCTCCTCTGTAGTTTGGCGAGTAGCGAGGCGACGTTCTCGCAGCTACGCTTGGTGGGGCAGAACACCAGGCACGAGCCACCCGGCACTACCTCCGATACCAGCCCGCCCAGCCAGTCAGGGTCTAACGACGTCGCGGCCGAAGAGTACTGACCCGGTACCCAAAAATCCACAGATATATATTGAAAACACCACATACATACATAGGAAGTGGTCTGAGCAATACCTGCATGATTATTGTCTAGAAAGAGACAAAACGATATTCTCTACATTTATGACCATGGATTTATTTATTTATTTATTTATTTTTAGGGAAATAACAGCATTAATTTTTACATAAAAAATATAACATTAGTTTAAACAATTGCCTAGGTAATTTCCACTATTAATTATCTCACATAGTGTCTAATAAACATGAGAGAAAAAAGAAACAATTTTTGGTATCATAATGAACATAAACAAAACAAAAAGAAATAAGAATTTTGTGCCTAAAACGAGTTAAAAAATTAGTTTTTTAAATTTCAAAAAATTAAGATTAAATATATCAATGTGACTATATTTAGAGTTATATGATTTCATAGCTCGCACAATGTAGCGATTACTTGCATAATTAGTCCGACCCGCGGGAATGCAAAACGTATCACGTGCTCGTAGATTTGCTCTTGGACACTTTAGCAAAATTTTACTTAAAAGATATGAAGAATCGACAAGACCATTTATAACCTTGTGAAGCAAGACCAAGTCTCTGCACTCTCTTCGGTGTGCCAGGGATCGAACGTCATCCTCACAAAAATCATTGTATTTGTATTTCATCCTTGTAATGAATTTACTTTGTACTTTCTCTATCGCGCTTATGTGTGTTAAGTACTGCGGATTCCATACCGTTGAAGCGTACTCTAGTTGAGATCTTACATAACTGTTATATAAAAGTAATAGAGTTTCTATGTTTTTAAAATCTTTGCCCTGCCTAAATATGAAACCCAACATTTTATACGCTTTGGCTGTAATTTTATGAAAATGAGACGTAAAATACAATTGACTGTCCATTATCACCCCCAGGTCTCTCACCTCAGACTTTTTAGTAAGATCTTTGGCAAAAAGTTTATAATTAAATTTTATTTCAGTTTTTTTGCTGCTAAAGGTTATGGAACTACATTTATCGACATTCATAGTCAGCTTATTAATTGTACAATAATCACACAAACGATCTAGATCTTCCTGAAGTCTAACACAATCTTCAACAGACTTAATAATCGAAAATATCTTGGTATCATCTGCAAATAGTAAGAATTTTGAATTTTGAAAACACTGACTAACATCATTTATAAAAATGTTAAAAAACAATGGTCCGAGGTGAGAACCCTGGGGAACACCTGACGTAATCGGTATGAAACTGGACTTAAAACCTTTCACAGTAACTGCCTGAGTTCGGTTTTCAAGATATGACTGTAACCACCTCAGCAGGTCACCATGTATACCGATATTCTCTAGCTTTCTAACTAATATTTGATGCGAAATTTTATCAAAACATTTAGAGTAATCGGTATACACAGCATCTACCTGAAAACCATTATTCATTCCACACAATACTTGGTCTAAAAACTCACATAGGTTTGTTTCAGTGGAGCGCCCTGCTACAAATCCGTGCTGCTGACTAATAAAAATCGGTCTAAGGGCTACATTAAGGGAGTCGAAAACTATTTTTTCAAATAACTTAGGTATTACAGACAATTTTGATATTCCTCGGTAATTACGGATGTTGTGTTTATCACCATTTTTATGAATGGGTACAACCAATGACTGCTTCCACACTAAAGGCATTACTGCGCTAGACAACGATAGGCGAAATAGGTAAGCAATTGGCAGCTCCAATTGCTTGCAGCACATTTTAATGAAATAAGGGTGAATACCATCCGGCCCGGATCCCTTATTTGCATCAACCTTTGATAGATACTTTTTGACAATGTCTTCCGAACATCTTACAGAATTAATAATACATTCACTTTGTCTATAAGGTGGATAGGTAGGTAGATTACATTGCATTACATTAGTAATATCGACTCGCATGATTAAAATGCTTTCTCCTTATGATATTTTTAATACACAAAATTAACTACCAAGAAAAAGAAAGAAAAGTGACCTTTGAGCTGTAAATGCAGACGAAATATATATAATGAATGTTGTTAACCTCGGGAAATGATACAGCAATCTTGATAATAATATGCATTTAATCTTCTTCGTATTTGGGAATTGCAGTTTTACTTGATAATAATAAAAATATGAATTTTTAACAATGCACCAAACGAAGATTTGCATCACATTGTCTTTAAAAAATGAGTATGACTGGGTTTAAAAACAATTTAAAAAAGCTCCTTTGTTCTAAAGGCTACTACTACTATACATAGACCAGGGTCGATAATTTTTGAGACCAAAAAAATTATAGTAGGATGAAACCCATTAGAAAAGGTAGAGAATATAACAAAAATGAAAGGAAAAATAAATTACGGGCGATCTGAGGTCGGGAAAGGGGAGGGGGTGAGTTTTTAAGGGTAAAAAATGGTTAATCTCGATTTCCGGTAAAACTGCAAGTCCTATGAAAAAAAGTTAAATGGCAAAGTTGTAGGTAATAAAAAGATCTACAACTTTTGCATCGACACTTTTTTCACATAACCTCAAATTTTATGTGAAAAATGTGAATAACCGAGTTTTTGGTTTTTGATTTTTATTTTTTGCAAAAAAAAAATATTTTCTCACGAAATTTGGTGAAAACTTACCTTTGTATGTCCCAAACATACAGTAATTTTTTTGATTTAAAATATTCATTTTTTCACCTTATTTTGACTTAATATCGAAAAAGCACCCTTATTTTCAATCGAAAATTCTCACGTCAAAATATCTGCTTTTTTAAAAAAGTTGGGGTGTTTTTTGTTTGTTGAAATCTCTACTTTCTGATGGTATAAAAAAAATATACACTACTATGGTAAATGTTCTCAGAAACTGCAAATTAATAATGAAAAAAACTCCAATCCGAAAAATTGATTTGAATCATTATGTATAATTTTGAACTATTTACTAAAATTTACACCTTAATTACTCGAAAAACGTAAGATTTCATGTTATATTGATAAACAGAAAAATTACAAATCCATAAAACATGAAAAAATAGTTTGTTGTAAGTAGGTATTAAAAATAGGATTTTCGGATTCGAGTTTTTTTCATTATTAATTTGCATTTTCTGAGAACATTTATCATAGTAGTGTATATTTTTTTTATACCATCAGAAAGTAGAGATTTCAACAAACAAAAAACACCCCAACTTTTTTAAAAAAGCAAAGCATATTTTGACGTGAGAATTTTCGATTGAAAATTAGGGTGCTTTTTGGATATTAGGTCAAAATAAGGTGAAAAAATGAATATTTTAAATCAAAAAAATTACTGTATGTTTGGGACATACAAAGGTAAGTTTTCACCAAATTTCGTGAGAAAATATTTTTTTTTGCAAAAAATAAAAATCAAAAACCAAAAACTCGGTTATTCGCATTTTTCACATAAATTTTGAGGTTATGTGAAAAAAGTGTCGATACAAAAGTTGTAGATCTTTTTATTACCTACAACTTTGCCATTTAACTTTTTTTCATAGGACTTGCAGTTTTACCGGAAATCGAGATTAACCATTTTTTACCCTTAAAAACTCACCCCCTCCCCCTTCCCGACCTCAGATCGCCCGTAATTTATTTTTCCTTTCATTTTTGTTATATTCTCTACCTTTTCTAATGGGTTTCATCCTACTATATATTTTTTTCACTTTTCACCATTTTTAAAACTATCGACCCTGGTCTAACACTGCAAACGTAATTTAAGGAATTAAAATGATGTTTATTAGTAATTTAATGTGATATAATTTATTTAATAATACAGTGTTTAATTTATTTAATACAATTGTTATGGCATTGAATTTTGTTCATTTTATTGATAAGTAAGTTTTTTTTATGTGATTTAAATTTATATTTATTTATAAAAAATTAAACAAGCTTCCTAAAGCACATTGCTATGCCTAACACCTCTGTACACCTACATGAAAAGGCTATTAATATTATTATTATTATTAAATACTCCCTTCATGTTCTCTCCAAAAATCGTTGTGTAAAAACGATTGTTGCCGTCAACGCCCGGCGGCCGGCGTCGTGATCGTTCTTCAGTGTTCGCCGGTTTAAATCTCTCCCGCGCGTAGTATAAGTGCGAATAAAGTGTGTATAAGTGGTTGGTAGAGGTAAGGTTTCTGAAACGCTTTTGTTTGCTAAATTACAATATCTGCAGTTGACTAAAGTCCGCAATTGGAGTTTTTAAATTAAAAGTGATTTCAGTGCGAGTATTATTTCTGGAAATCTCATAAGGATCTATTTATTTGTACATAGTCTTTTTACAGAAAATTCAATTATTGCTCATTACTCTCACTAAAACTAAAAAAATCCTCTTGACCAAAATCAAAAAAACATCATATAGTTTGCTGTAGTGCAGTGGTGTGTTAATACGGATTATACGGTCTGAAATAAATGATTATTATTTAATACTTATTTCATAAGTACTCACGTCATACGCCAGCTGCCGGTCCGGCACTATCTGCAGCCCGTCCGGAGTCCACAGCATCCGGTGCAGCATGTCTCCCAGCTTCACGTACTCCGTCAGCTCTACGGGCCGGAACTGTCGCTCGAACACTTCCGCTCGCAAATACTGAGCCAGCTGCGGAAGGTTACCTATCGTGGCACTCATGCCTACAATCTGGATGCCTTCTACAAAAAATAACAGATTAATCCATTTATTCAGGAAATTCATTCTTATTAGTGTGTGTATAAGATGAAATATAAGAAGAAATGAGTAGCTCGATGGCGTTCGTCTGCGATCGTTGAACATCAGCAACTTTCGCAGAGGTTGGTCATTGGATGGGTGACCAAAAATTACTATCTCGAGCTCCTCCGTGCTTCGGAATGCACGTTAAGCCGTTGGTTCCGGCTGCATCTGCAGTCGTTAGCACCCACCAATCCGCACTGGGCCCACCAGGGAAGGCCTGTGCCCCAGCAGTGGGAATAGGCTGATGATGATGAAGATGAAATAAGTTAGGTACTTACTATCAGCAAATAATATGGTAGTGAGTAAAGTTTCCAGAGCAGCGCCTCTTCCTTGTTCCCCAATTAAATGTAATTCGTCAACCTAAAATTAAACATTACCCCTTAATTGTTTACTTTCTAATATATACCTAATATGTACGAGTATGTTGCTGATTATTGTATGACAATTTCAATTAAGACTTTTTGCCTGTAACGCAGGACGCAGGACAATACCTGTTTTTTTAAAATCCAATATCGTAATTGTTCTTGACAAATTATATAATACGTATTGTTTTCCTTTTATTATTATATATTCTGCTTACCACAATAAGGCCAAGCTCATCGAGTCTGTCTAATTCTATAAGACTCCTCACCAATCCCAGCCCCTTTTCAATGGTGGCTATATAAATGCTTTTCTTTTTTCGTCTCTTTTTTGGAGGTAGTAGTCCTTTCCCACCTGCATACTCTTCAACAAGGAAATCTAGACTCAATGCAAAAGGTGATAAAGACCAAATCTGAAAGAGTTTTCAAATAACAACTTTATTTTGTAACAGTTCTTTTTTTTAATCAAGCCTTCTGAGATTAATATTATGGTATTGTAAATATGTGTGTTAGGTACCTACATTCTATAATATTTTTTTGAGTTATTTACCTTTTCTTGGACGATAGCAACAAATGGCAAAATGAATAATGCATTTTTGTTTCTATTTAGTACTTCTCGTAACATTAGCACTTCTGCCACTAAGGTTTTCCCTCCACTTGTTGGTAATGCATAAATTAAATTGCGCCTCTCTTTTATTGCAGGTAAATTCAAACATTCTTCTTGCCAATCTACAGATAGTAATCATCAGTAAAATAAATGAGTACTAGAAATACAACAACCAATCAATAACTTTATTTGAATATTTTTGACAAGCAATAATTTGTTTTATTATAAACTCTTAACATGAGGTGATTCATATATTCCCTTTGTAAGATTTGCATTTCCATTGCTGTTTCTCCTCAGATAAGATTTTATAATACTCCTCTGCTCATACTTTATAACAATACAACAACCTGTATACATGACAAACAACCATCTATTCTATTTTATATTAGTTGGTATCTGCATATTGTTTAATGTTTGGCATACACTGAACAAGGAGCTCGATGGCGCAGGCAGTTAGCATGGAGGCTGCGGTTGTTGAAGTTAAACAACTTTCGCAGTGGTCAGTCATTGGACGGGTGACCAAAAATTTTCTATCTCGAGTTCCTCCGTACTTTGGAAGGCATGTTAAGCCTTTGGTCCCAGCTGCATCTGCAGTCGTTAGAGCCCGCCAGTCCGCACTCGACCTGCGTGGTGGATCTTCCTATTCCATCCATGGGGAAGGCCTGTGCCCCAGCAGGGGGGACATTAATAGGATGATGATGATACACTGAACAGTGACTTGATAAATATTGTACTAGTAGCCCGCCCTTGCTTCCCTTTGGTGTTCAACATAACTTTCTATTGCTTAAAGAATTTTCAAAATCAGTTCAGTAGATCCAAAGATTATCCGCTACAATGTCACAATTCACAAACTTTACCTCTTTATAGTGGATTGATAATGGTTAGATTTTTAACAGAACTGTGGACAGATAACTCAAAAACTCAACAATTTACACAAAAGTACTGTTAATATTTATAATAAAGTAACAAGAATACAAACCATAAAACTTATCAATATTTCTATACATTTTAAATAAACTTTTTGTAATCATTGGCAAATCATAAAAGTTATTCTGATTGCATGATGCCTTTACAGGTGACTTCTGCTTAACAATTGATTCAAAACATTGATTGTTTTGTGCCACAATACCACTTTCCTTCATATCTAATAGGAAGGAATCTTTCGTTTCAAACATGGTACTCTTGACTGATTTTTTATCATGCTCTATTCCACATATTGACTGGTTTACTAATTCAAAACTCTCTTCAACATTTTCTATTAAAAGCTTTTCACAACCCATAGTGAACTTTGAATCAATAAGCTTATGAACTACTTGGAACTCTGTTTTTAAATCTAATATAGCCTGACCAATTACAAAACTTCTTTCATTTCTTAATGGTTGACAGCTTTTGTCGTGAGACATGCATTCCATTTCTAATGGACTCTGATATATTTCATGATTGTCTATCTGCTGTTCACATGCTTGGGTTGGCTCTTCCATTCTTGAATGGAACATATCATCCGATATATCCTTAAGTTCATTCTCAACATTATTAGTTTGAATTCTACTGGAACAAATATCTCCTAGATCACAAGTTGATAAAGATTCCCAAGGGTTCGACTTATTCTGTGAATTTTCAATAATAGCAGGAGAACTTGGAATATAGCAAGCAGAACTGCTGTTTCTAGAGTCATGTAAAAACTCGTCTTGATTTGACGGTAATGGTGGTGATTCACAGCGTTCCAATGAGCTTACTTTAGTAGAAGTAATTTGGCAATGAATAGGACTAAAAGTTGGTGTAGACGAATTATTATTTTCCTTGTTATTCAGTTTTAAACATTGCCTTAAAATCCGTCCTGTACCAAGTCGCCTTCGCTTTGGAGTAGATGTATGTTCTTGAATATTTTTCGAGTCCATATTTGTTTTACTCATGTAAACCCTCGTTTTGATAAAATATGACTAGTTTTTTATAAAATCCCAAAGAAAACAAGAAATTATTTTAGTCACAAATTCAAAAAACACAAAAAAAGTTTTGTTTTGAAAGTTTCTTTTTTTTTAAGTTCTCCCGTTTTAGGGAAGACAAAGGGAACAATGCCCATACAGCCCCGTCTTTAATTAAATTTATCTTCTTTTTGTTTTTACATTAGAATGTCGGTGTGACGCATTCTAATGTTTCTTGGAGTGTTTGGCACGAAATGTATCGAGTTGGCTTTTTCGATAAGCTTCTGTGAGGTAGTCAATACGACAATAAAATTCTCACGTCCTCTTGACCGGAACAGCGTATATTTTAACGATTCCACTAATTCTTCAGTTACGTAGACGGTTGTTACACAAAACCACACCAATTTTATTTCACAATATCCACTTTGAACGAATTTAAGAATAATTAATATAAGACGCCAACCGGACTCGATGAAATCCCGCCGAAAACCCCAGTTTTTTTTTTAAGATTTCGTTGTTGTTGTTATAATGTTTCCATCAGGAGGGCTAGTCCAAGGACACTAAGTACATACAGCTAAAACTGAAAGAATAAGTTGCTTTGTTTTCACTTTGTTGTAAATGATAGGTATCATAATATAAAAAAAGTATTGGTTTATATATAATAAACTATATATGCAAGCTTCATTGAGCTAGTCAGTAGAGTAGTAAAATTCTCGCTTCGATTTATTAAAAAGCTTTATATAATTTTTGTTTACTATAGTCTGGTAAAACCAGATCAATTTAATAATGATTATAATTTATAAGTATGTAACTGCTCGATAATAGGCTAGTTGACCCTTTTTGGAAAAAGGTTTTAAATGGTTAATAAATGTTCTATTAGATCGAAAAAAAATGTATTGTATTTTTTTTTAAACCTAGAAAGCTACAAATCTTTAATTTTAAAATAGATTTTTCATGGACATACAAAAACGCTGTCGGCCATTTTAGTCTATAGATTATCTATGCTATGACGTGAACTGTGGTAAACAAAAACTCGTAAACACGTAGAAAATTACTTTTAACTGAGTTTATAATAAAAAAAAACATGATTTCTAATAAATACCACGAAAACTAAAGTAATTATCATTACTGTATTGTACGAGAATATAAAAACACATCCTTGAAGACTCCAGGAAAGTTGTGGATTAAAGTGCCGAAAGAAATTAACCTACGCAACTTTATTACACTTATTCATATGTTGTATCAGTTTTATGTTTATTACTACATTGTAATACTAAATGCACTGTACTTACATAGATGCCTTGTCGTTTCTCTGCTCCGCAGAGCAGAAATCGGGGTTTAGTGTAACAAATTCACCAACCATCAATGCGTCAACTATTGGCAGATTTGTGCTTTCTGCTTTCACAAAGCCGGCATCCATAATTAGTTTTGTCAATGTTTTTTTCTTTCCTAATGTTAAAAGTGTTTTAAGATAAAAGTCAGACGAAAGAATCCACCTACAGTAATATAGTAATATTACATACAGTAACACGCGAATGACATTTAGTTGTTTACCACAAGAGACGTCAAAATCATGGCGGATGTGGCGAACAGCGTTTTTAGTGTTTAAAAAATATAGACTAAAAAATATTTTTTAAAATTAAATTTCTACAGCAATCTTCTGCTTTTATGAAGTGAAATCGATATATTAAGGTTCCTTAGACTAAATACTTTAAGAAATAAACATTTATTTAATATAATTCGACATGAGTAAACTAGCCTATTAATAAAGTTTACCTCATCACTCACAGGCATTTCTATTACCACATTGTCTACACCTCTGCGATGTATTCGGCGTGGCACCACACCCCCGTTTGATCAACAAAAAAGCAATATTGCATCTAACACCGATATGTTTATTAGGTAATAAATAATTATTGTTCCGTTATCACTTAATCGTGGTTACTTATTTATTATTTTAAATGTGGGTAGGTTCGCAACGAGAACGATACATCTGCGAATGTGGTTTTTTACTAGCTTAACGCGGACAGTTAGCCACTGATCACACGAGAGGACCTACGTCACTCCGTTCCGCGCCCGCGCACGCGCTAACATCGTATAAACATAATCTTTACGTGCGGTATACCAAACAAGTGGAATACGTCAACAATACACTGTGAATTTCTTAAATGACTGCCCAATTTTATTTATTTAGGCGTCAATTAGAGCTTGTTTTAGAACTACCGAGATATAAAGGCGCTACAGCAGCACCACTTACAACTTTTGGCGACAAAAGAGAGTAAACAAGCAAAATATTTCACGTAGAGCTATACCACAGAATTACAAGGGTGATAACAGGGTGAGTTAAAAGGTTAAAGACATACAGCAGCATTTTTTAACTCTACAATATGGGCAAAGCATCTTGTGTTATAGCTTTAAGTGAATCTTACAACTATAAGATCTAAATAAGAAGTGAGCATTGACTACAACTCCCCAAAGTGCTATGCAAGCGATAATAAACTCTCGCCAAGAACCAAAAGTTGCACAAAGGCAATAATTACCACTACCAGTTCCACAATGGTGCTCATAAATTCTTTTGTACCACCAAATGCCTAAAGAGGTACAAAATGCTCTTAAGTTACTAAAAATCGAACAGCAGAAACATTCTTCGCTATGATAGAACTTCTAGTGGTTATTGTGACTTCTGTATAACTTTAGGTAGAGTAATAGAGCTTAATACCACTTCTGTACCCCTCATTCGTTTACTTGTTGTTGATAGTAATGCAATGACGACGCAACTAAAAAAAGGTTAGAAAAACATAAGAAAACACGGTTTAATTGAAGTATTTTGCTTCATTGTGTTCTAACACTACTAGCACAATACCTTAAACTAGAATAGGCAACGTTTTATTAGATTATTACAAAAGTTTTATGTTACTCCATATCTAATAAAATATTTCTTTTATTAGCAAACCCATTTGTAATTGTGTGTGTATATATCGTAATCTTGTTGCAGCCCCTTTTCAATCGTTTTAATTACTTATATCGGCTGCCCCCAATATGTATTTGCAATAACAATACAATTATAATATCTTTGACTTTGTCTCGAACACGCGACCGCTTCCTGAGTTTTCGGATGCTTTATTATTTATTATATTATCTTCCACAGAGCCTCGGTTCGGTGAAATGAACAGTGGCCTGCCCAGTACAAACCAGATAATACTCACCCGGCACAGATACTGAGGACCGCAATCGTCCGCAACGTGTCGGGCGTGCGAGTGATGCTGCAGCACTCAATTCCCATCTGGCAGCGTTCTTTTAAATGACCTTCCACAGACCACAACAAGACAGGCCAATTTTCTGGCCATTATTTCATTAATAATAAGTACTTATAGCTGATCTTCTGCTAGTCAGCTCGATGGCAGTGGTGAGATCAGTCTGTGATGGTGGAAATTAAGCATTTTAGACAAATGGCCAATTATAGGATGGGTGACTAAAGACTTATTATCTCGAGCTCTAAAATAAGACAGCTAGAGCATTGCGGATTCACCGCTCGGAATAGAGCGGCCATCTGGGAAAATAATCTCCAACTTACAGAAGACTGAAATAATACTTTGGTAGTGCTGCTTCTGTCGGTCGGTGAGTAAGGTTCCAAGGCTCCACGGAGTAGGGGGTAGGCAACGGTGGGAGCGATAGCCTTAGTATCGCAAGTGTCCATATGCTATGGCAGCCGCTATCCATCAAGTAGGCCACGCTTATTTGCCATTCTTTTAACATAGAAAGAATAAATACGTGCTACTACATATAGAACTGGGTAGAACGGTTACCTCAGTGGATTCAACCAATAATCATTTAATGATATGAGGAACTCGATAGAGCAAGTGGTTAACGAGTTCGGTCTGCGATCGTGGAAGTTAAGCAACTTTCGCAATGGCCGATCATCGGATGGGTGACCAAAAATGTATTATCTTGACTTGAGCTCCTCCGTAATTCGGAAGACACGTTAAAAGGTTGGTCCCAGCTGCATGCAGTCGTTAGCATCCACCCATACGCACTGAGCGCACGTGGTGGCTCATGGCCCAATCTCCCTATTCGTTCCAAAGCATGTACCCCCCTACAGCGCGGACTTGTGCGGACATTAATAGGCTGATGATGATGATTAAGGAAGATGAATTCTTCTAATAGACGGCGTATTTTTTTCTTTCTGAGGCTTTTCTACCCTGTCTAAATTGAACTTTAAGTCAGATAGAGCTTTCGCTTCATTCGGCTCGAATCCCGCCTACAGAAAAGCTCGTCTACCTGGAGGAGGACTCCTGGAAGTTTACAGAAAACTTCAGCCAAAAAATTCTGTAGTACTGTGTCCCCGTACAATATACTTGACACGAAATAGTTACCTACTAAACTTTTCAATCATTGACCGGACAACTGTGCTAGGGCTGTGTTGTTACTTACTCTTGCTTAGATTTATTGACAACCCATTCTTCGTCTTTTTTTCTTAAGCGATATTCTGATAAAGAAAGCGGTACACTCTACTAACTCATTACCGAGAACTGAATTTCTTTAGTCAAAGTTTTGAAAACTCAGGACGGGTTGAGAGAGAGAGAGAGAGAGAGAGACTAAGGAAGACCTCAGTGAAATAATGCTTCCTTTTGATGGTGTTTGTTTTCGAGTAAGTGAAATCCAGGGCTCCACGGGTTTTAGGGTGAAATTTTAGTCGGCAAGGTGAGGATGGCTAGAGCGGTACATGAGTTATCTAAGCAACTGGACCCACTTAATATTAAATGAAGTTAGAGAATTTGCGATGCCTTGATAAACAAAAACGACTTAACCTCGTAAGTCCCCGCGTACTTGTATAAGTACAAATAAAGGATAGTAGTTCAGACCTGATATTTTAACTACATATATGGAGTGCGTACCTAATGTACTTGCCGAAGTACAAATTTTTAATTCCCCATTTACCGGGTAGTTTTTTTACAACGGCAACACAGACACAGTCATTCTCATTCTATATTCCATGGTCGATTCCGCCCTGTTTGACAGGTAACGTCAACTGACAATGTCAATGTCACTTTTTCGCAAGATGGCTACGCGGTCGGGACGACGACCAGTACGAGGTAAGATTATCTGTTTATATCCAATAAATCATTTGTTTTTTCTTTAGTTTTATAAATGAATTAGTGTATATAAATTCTGAATATATTAAAATGAACAAAATTTAAAAGATGACTGTAATTTTAAGGAGATTTCTGATCGGTCAAAATAATATGTACTTGACGTGGTACGTTAGGTGTTTGTTACATAAATATTTGTACTTGTGGCGGTACGTTCGGTCTATATTACAAGTTCATCTCCTAGAAAATTAAAATAAAAACTATTTTTTGTCGTGTTCAGTTGACAAAAATGTTAAATTATAGCCTATTACCATTTATTTTGATCTCTTATTCTTGACTGTGATTTCGCTATATAATGTCATATAAGTAGTACGTAAGGAAGATTGTTTGCAAATTTCAGCGTTTTCTATTTTATTTAATAAGTAGGTATAGTGATGCCGTTATTCTCTGATTAAGATAAGATAATGGCCTAAATTGTCATTGAGGCTGAGTTTTTAATTGTTTTTTTAATGAAGATTGTTTACGTTGTAATAAAATGATGTTAAGAGGAAAAATATGTTTTGTTTCGATACTAAATAATTTTTTTAACTTTTTTTACATTGTTTTATTACACGGTGTAAAAACCTAATGTACTCACACAAGTACAAAATATTTTCAATAAATTTCTTCTTAAAAAGGTGCTTTACATAATAAACATATCATAAAAAATACAGACAACAAGACCTCAAATCAAAAATTACGTATAAGCGTTTTTTCTTGTCTCGGTCTGAAGTACTATTCTTGATTTGTACTTGCTATAGTACATCCGTCAGATATGACTACTGCTGTTAAAAAAACACGGGACTTACGAGGTTAAGGTGGCTATAGATAGAGTAATTTGCTTAGACTTCCATGTAAACTAGTTCTCTGACTAGAAAGCTGGGCCTGGCCTCGTGGACGGAACTGTGAAAATAAAATATTTGGCACTCTAGGGCGCGCCTTACGCTTGTTGTGTTTCATTGCTTTGAGCTCCAAGGATTTTGCTTTCACAGCGCCCTGACCGCGAACTTGAGGCGCTCGCTGTAGGATGAGGAAAGAACTCATGAGGAGGGAAGCGGTCTACGGAAGCGCATCCAGCGGCCCCGAGCGGTGCATTGGTCGTTGCACTGGCGCGCGGCGGTGACGTTTGTGTTCTGTTCGGTCAGCGGAGAAACCGGAGCCGGCTCGTAATGGGTCGCGCGCGCGCGCCGCTAAATATAGCGCGGAGGGGGGAGCTCGCTCCCGCCAGCACTCGCCTCTCTCCGGCCAGAGCCGCCTCGGTCGCCGCGGACTCCACATTCCAACGTCGCTGTGCTGCCGGTCGAAGAACCAGTGACTGAGTGACCGTCTTCAACCCGTGCGACGTAAGTGCCGTGCCGTGGAGTGCCAGTGATCGTAACCACCGCAGTGACGGAACCAGTGATTCATCTAAGTTATAAAATATCGAGTGAGCGACAGGGTATGCCCATGCCTAAAAATACGCCCGCGTTTCGCACCAAATCCGGACGGGCGGCGTGCGTGCGTGCGTGCGGAAATAGCAGCGCCTTGTATAGTGCCCCGGATTGCGTTACAAACGCAAGTTTCACATGTGAAAAATCTCACCGAAAATCGTGTTAATTTACTCCACCTGTCACACACAGCCTTGGTTTACAGATAACACTAGAAACTTATTACACTTACCTGTACACAAGTTATAACAATTGTTTGAAATAATAATTTGGTACCTATCTTCTCTTAAATGAAGAAGTTCATATGGCTTGATTTTGTTGTGTTAAAGTGTGTGTAAAATTTCTGCATCAAACAAATGTGCGTGAAATACATAAGAAATAAGCATAAAATCGTGTTGTTAGTGACATAAAAATATTTAAGACATAAAGGTTCATTTTAACTAGTTAGGTACGGATTTCGTCCGCCCAGGTATTATAAGTCTACTCTAGGTATAGAGGGGTGGTTTCAAAAACACAAACAGTGAGTAGTGAACACAAGCATGCACATAATGTTATGTAGTAAGTGTAGTTTGCGTCTCAAAAACCACAAAACGATTTCAACTAAAAAATAGAAAATCTAACAAATATATGTAGCGCTAAAATTTGTACATACACGATCAAACTTTCTAATTGACAACACGGTATTGAATATAGAACTCATACTTTCATCCGTAAAATAAGTTTATAACTTTTCTTACAAGTTAGCAACAGAAAATTCAAATAAAGTCAGTCCACATACAGTTATTCAAATTTATAAAATATATTGTAGACTTTGTAGTTGACCGTACAGCGAGTCAACGTTGCTGGATGCAGTTTGACAACGACAGCACCATTATTGCGTAGCAATAACAATTGTCATAATATCGACCGTAGATTAATAAGGAAAGAGTAAAATTAAAACCAATAAATATACATCTTGAAAAGCATCTTTCTTTATGTAAAACAATCTGTCAATTTACCTACTTAAAAAACTTAGAAATTTTTTCGATGACAATAAAGCCCTTGAAATTTCTCCCTTATACGAACCCGTGCGTTCCAATTCTATTAAAATATACGCGAGCGCAAGAAATCCGAGTCCTGGGCGTTCGGTCGGTCGCGGAATCCATTTTTACGCTTTCTTTGAACCGCTGCCAGAACTACGTAGGTGTGTTGGATGGCACGAAAGCTAAGACCGCCGAAAATAAAACGCGACTTCATAAACAATATGCTGGTTTCCCGCGTTCCCGCCCACGCGAATCTCGCGCTTTGGCAACTGGGAGATAGGTTGCAGCGTAACTCGACACGATCGATCGATACATTAATGATTGACGAATGAAATATTGGCGCTCGAATCGTCAACAAACATTGATTGGAATCTATAATCTTCTGAGACATAACGGATACAAACCTTATATTTACAGTTAAATAAGCAATTAACAAAATGGTAAGGGAATTTTTAAAGAATCTATGAAGTTTAACTTATTTACGACGATTCAAGTATTAGGTCTTTAAATAAATTGAAAATTTGTTATTAATTCCTGTAATTAACAACAACGTGTTGTTTATGAGAAATAAGTTTTGAAATCACGCCAATACAAGATAAATTGCCATTTATATTTACGAATAGAATGTAACAGACAAAACGATACCAACACAAAAAAAAATTTTTTTCTAAATGTACATCACACATGGGGAATCACAAATACTGTCATATTTAAACAATATCGTTTGTTTTACAGAATAACAAACTACCAACATGTCTGACGAGGAAGAATATTCGTAAGTATTTATTTATTTTGAACCAATCATTATTTGAAAGATTGCAATTTTATTAGAAACGCGGAGAAATATACTAGGTACTTTTGAATAATACAACACAAACATACAAAACTTCAGAAATACATAAACACTATAGTGAACTTCCCAATTCTCCTACTTGTGTTAAACGAAATCATGATTACTTGTGCTAACAGCAGAAAGGCACCCTATTCCTTCGTTCATTAACGTGTCCATAATTTAGAAATATAGTGCGGTGAATTGTGTATTGTAAACATTGTGTGTGTTCCACAGTGGCTCCGAGGAGGAGGAAGTTGAAGAAGAAGTCCAGGAGACGTAAGTGTTACCCACAGTCGGCAGTCCCACTATACTCTCATTTCAAAATTTAGTTTTCTCTAGAGACTGTTTGTTTTTGAACACTTCAGCTTTACTGGGCGTGGTTTCCTACTTTGCCTAAGCGAATCTGTCTTCCAGAACTATTAGAACCAATTCGCAGTATAATGATCAGTTTTTAGTTTCTGGTTGAAGCTGTGTAAGACTTGAGGCATGGCCGCAACTCTGACCCCGTTATCTTGGATCCCCCGAATCTTGGGCTTGTTTGCACGCCCTCACCAATCCCTATTCTCTCTTTTGTTGCAGGAAGTAAGTGGCGTGCCCTTTTGGTTGATCCGGCACTTACACTCGCTTGGCTCATACATAGGCTAAGTTAAAACGGCTCTGTTAACGCTTATATTAGTGCTTAAGTTCGTCGCTTGGTTGCTTTCAGAGTCTCAACATGTAGGAGCTACTATGGTGCGACTTCACGCTTACTAATAAGCATTTCATAATAACCATCAGGGCTACGTTTGTTATGTTATGTAGCTCTGAAAGGAAAGATCAGTTCGTAAAATCGGAATGTAAGTAACACTGATCTTCCTTCACATCGTGTCCATCATTGTCCTGTGACTGACCTTGGGTTGTGTTTTGTGGTTGTACCGGTGGCTGTAACACGTCCAGCTTTGTTTACATCTATGTTGTTCATTTATTGTTCATATAATAATGGTGATTATTTTTCTTTTCACTCGCTGCCGTCTTCGTCGGGGAACTTCAGACCGGCTCCTAAACCGGAGTAAGTAAAAATGACTTAATACGTAGAAAACGCTTCGCTTGTGAGCCACAAATTAGCTTGTGGCGTTTCTTTTGGAATGATTGGTAATAACTTATTGATATATTTACTATGGGTAAACTTTTTCAAAATTTTTAAACTGACTTACAATGGCTTTTAACGCAGTGTTACCGTTTTGGTTGAGCGAAAATTAATCGAATGCTTAATTTTGTATCTATTAATTGTACATAAACGGCATTTTGTACGTATCAAACACATGTATGTGTCGACCATTATGTGATATTGTTAATTGGGTCAAAACAGTGATCGAATGTCGTTTATGATACTATACAGTGAAGCGTTGAACATTGCAAAGATAAGTATGTAGAGGCTGATTGTCGTTTTCTGTTTCTAGGAGTAGACCGTCGATCGCGTAAGTTGCACCGCTCTCTGTGGTGTCACTAACTGTAATCCTATCATTAACAAGAGCCGCGGGCGCATATTTTTTTTACAATTAAACACTAGCACCCAGAATTCCAGAAGGATCGCAGCCCGCCACACGACGTGGTCGGTTGCTATTTTTACCGGTCGGTAGGCGATCTATTTTAATCTTTTCGCCGCGTTGCGCCCGCGCTGCTCAAATAAGTTACAAGATGTCGGTCAAAAGACAACCGCAGCGTTGTCGCCGCTTCTTCCATACTTGCATGAGAGGAAAGGCATGACATTCAAAGCATGATTACCTACCTCGTAATATACATAATAATTTATATGTGTAAATGTCGAACATAGCCATTTGATCGTTATCATTTAGAAAAAAAATACACACTCAAAAATATTACAATTCGATACACTTTACATGCTTTAGTGATAATAATATCAATATCGACATAAACATTCGATTTAGCTTTCGTTAATGTATCAGAGTTTAATATTACTGAAATAATAATATATTTAAAAAAATATGTTGTACGTTTATACTGTAGACACATCAGCTAAAATTATAACATAATGTACAGTTCTAATAATATTTAATGTACTTATCGGACGCTACTAAATGAGCGTAACCAGAAAACTTAGTTCTAACGTAATATATAGTTAATAAAAATATTATTATTTAAACTCAATCACCATAACAGGAGTTCTATTTATGTTTATTAAGTTGTTAACCGTTATATTAACGGTGACATTAACAAGATTAACATAATATTTGGACGATTTTTGGGTTATTACAATTGTCATTTATGTTTCCAGGGGTGAGGGAGATCCAGAATTTATCAAGGTAATTTCTATTTCATTAATGACATTATTATGTCATATTAAAATAAAATGAAATTTTACACAGTAAACGTAAATGTTTCTAGACATACTATTAAAATACCCAAAGGAGACTGTCATTTAATTAACCACCGTTGTTGTGTATCGCCAGCGTCAAGACCAGAAGCGGTCGGACTTAGACGAGCAGCTGAAGGAATACATCAACGAATGGCGCAAACAACGGGCCAAGGAGGAGGACGAGCTCAAACGCCTCAAAGAGAAGCAGGCTAAGCGCAAGGTAAGGACTGATTTGGCTATTGACCTCCTGTTTAATCCGGGGAAATGTCAGTATATCCATACAAAGAAAAGTTGCTAGATCCATACAAAGAAAGTTAAGTAACTTTTACGTGAATATCAATCACTAAATTATCAGCATTTTTTCTTTCTCTCATGAAAACACATATATCGTTTTTGTATAGTAGATATACTGTAGATTGGGGGGGGGGGGGTGGAAACTAAATTATCAGCAATAATTTTCAGTTCTTCTAAGTTAAGTAACTTTTACTCTAACAGTACCTAATCCAAAACAAAAATGGGTTAGAGCCGATTTCCTGGCGATCGGCCAAAAATAATTATTACTCATTCAAAAAGTAATGTCATTTCTGACTTCAAAGACACAAACCAACAAGACTCTTAATTCTATCCATATAGTTCGGTATCAGAAAAAGAGTTTAATTCAGCTATTGAAAATCAGCTCCAAGTCTAATAAAAGAAGTCTGTTTTTTGCCCTTTATCTTATACGTAAACATTAAATTTCCGTAACAGCATGTAAAATATAACTATTCCGCAGGTATCTCGCGCTGAGGAAGAGAAGCGCCTCGCCCAGAAGAAGAAGGAGGAGGAAGAGAGGAGAGTGCGCGAGGTTGAGGAGAAGAAACAGCGCGACATCGAGGAGAAGAGACAACGGCTCGAGGAGGCCGAGAAGAAGCGCCAGGCCATGCTCCAGGCTATGAAGGAGTCCAGCAAGACCGGACCTAACTTCACTATCCAGAAGAAGAGTGACAACGTGAGTGTTGCTCCCATATTGATGTTACATTAAGAAAGAAAACCAACTGATGTTGTTGAATGCATTATAAGCATTCCTGCTCGAAGGAACATAATCAACCATTAAAAAATACAACTATCTTATGCTTCAATTGGACTTAAAAACTTTGGTGCAAGTATCTCTTAGTTATTAAAAATACAAAATACTCTCAGAAACACGTAAAAATTGACTTTGCTTAATTTATTTATATATCTTCCTTTTTAATTCTAATTATAGGTTTCATATTAAAAAAGTAGAAAACGTTTTTATACACGGACAGATTTAGTTTATAGTACACGACTAAATGTTTTCATACGAACGCAATTAGTAAAAAAAAACTGTACACAAATACTACATATCAACATAAATGTTATAATGTATAACAGTTCGGCCTCAGCAACGCTCAATTGGAACGAAACAAGACCAAGGAACAGTTGGAAGAAGAAAAGAAGATCTCCCTCTCTATCCGCATCAAGCCCCTGAACATTGACAATCTCTCCGTCGACAAGCTCAGAATAAAGGCCCAAGAACTGTGGGAATGCATCGTCAAACTCGAGACAGAGAAATACGATCTTGAGGAAAGGCAAAAGAGGCAGGACTACGACGTAAGTTGTAATAAGAATATCAATATAGAACCGGCTGATTTTTATATGTATGAGTATTTATCACTACTCATTTAATCTCTCGTTCACAGTTAAAAGAGCTCAAAGAAAGACAGAAACAACAGTTGAGGCACAAGGCCCTCAAAAAGGGTCTCGACCCTGAGGCCCTCACAGGCAAGCACCCCGTAAGTATAACCAATCATGTACAGTAGAGTCTCGCTTATCCGGACCCCCGTTACTTCGGTGCACGCTGTAATCCGGACAGGCGAGATGATCGTGGGTGGGATATATTACTGACTTTTTCAAAAACTGTTACTTTTTTATTTCATGTGTAGTGCGCAAATTTCTTAGGTACATGTTTGAATTTTTTTTAAGTACATTTGCCCGTCACACGTATATATTCTTGTCTAAGTTGCCTTAAAATGTTCACTATATGAAACCCGCAATTAAAAATGTGTTTTATTCCTATTAAAAAATTGCACACTATAATCTGGATGCCTCGATAATTCGGAAGGGGTCTTGTTTTTACCTATCCGGATTAGCGAGACCCTACTGTAGTTACATAGTTTCAGTGCTATTAGCCCTCTCTTGTTGGCAGAGCCTCAAAGGAGCAACAGCACAGATAAAATGTCGGCACTGCGCTTGGGTATTCGTATTTGCTATTTGTAAACTTGACAACAGTCTGTCCTTATCATACTTTATAAGGAATGAGAAGGACAGATTTATGTTAAGTTTACAAATAGCAAATACGAATAGCCAAGTGAAGTGTCAGCATGACATAATTTTAATTTGGTCTAACTTATTGTCCGGCAACCAAAATAACAGGGTATCGATCACACCACCTCCAATAGTTACTGCACCTGTCTGTTGATAGACTATCTCTGAACAGGGAAATAAGCAGACAGTTAAAAACATTCTATATTTTTCTTTTATCCCTAGTCTAGCAGTCTCAGTGTAATTTCCGAAACAATAAATATGACAAAACAGTGTATCACTTGATATTCGTAGCTCACTAATTCTTTTTCAATTTCAGCCCAAAATCCAAGTCGCATCCAAATATGAGCGACGTGTGGACACACGGTCATACGACGACAAGAAGAAATTATTCGAGGGTGTAAGTATCTACTTCGCATAGTCGAACTCAAAAAGAGGAAGTTAAATTTCAAAATAACGCAAAACCCGAAAATTTCTTTATGCATCGAAACTTACCTTTAAATATATATTTATAGTATTACATGAATCTTAAAAACTTTGATGTTGACGCAATAATATGTTTTTAAAACCAGCTGATGAATTGACGTACAGCTATGAACCGGTAACTTCCTGAAATAAATAATAACATGAAAATCTATCATTACTGAGGTTTTGCATTATTTAAATTACAACATACCTATTTGCATAGCAATGCGACGACACAAAATTGATAATGGTGTATAATATATAAATAATATTAATTTAAACAACAGGGCTATGATACTTATATGGCGGAGTACATGGATAAATTGTGGAATGACAGGATGAGCGAATTCATGAACCGGAACAAAAGTAAGGGGGAGTCCCCGCGTGCGGCACGAGCCTGCATCCCACCACGCGCATGCGCATGCGCACCATTCGACTGTCTACCACCTCCAACATACTCAGAGTTATTGATGTTCATTCACGTGTTCATAAGGCCGATTTTACCATGTCAATGAAATACTCCTTTTGTCTCCAATGACAAGGGTTATGTAATACTTTTGCTATTTAAACATTACCTGTGGGTCACTTGTGGCCTGTGACGGTCTTATAGGAAGCGGTCACCTTTGGTAATATTATAACATAATACGATAAGATCCATAAATCCTTCTAATTTAAATTAACGCCAACTTCTTCAAGATGCGGTAAAACTGGCCTAACACAACAGTATTTATGTACCATTGATTGGAATCAATATAGCTCGATATAGCGGGTACTGTCAAAAAGTATTTTTCTCTGTATCTAGTACTAGTATTCTAAAAGTTCAGATTCTTTGAACCCATATCTATATATTTGACAGCGGCGCTAAAGTTTCCGCTAGAGGCGCTGCTATCAAATATAATAAAACGAAACTATTGTATTGAAGCAACTTGTAAAATAACAATGTATGGAAGTTGACAGTACTCGTAATAATGCACAATATCCAAGCCTGCGAAGCCCTATAGTCCCGATGTCGCAACCATGTATTGACCCCTGTGTTAACATCTAGGACCTTGAGAAACTGAACAAGGACTTCATCGAGAAGGTGTGGCAAGAGAGGGCCGACCAGTTCGGCGGCAGGCAAAAGGGTAAGTTTGTTTAGGGACCACATCAAAATATCTGAAACTTATCGAAAAAAAAGGTAGAAAATAATCTTAATTCACATAAATTGTCATTTAGTATATCGATGAGCAATTTTCTTCACGAGAGATTCTTCAGCAAAAAAGTACCTAACTAAGAAATAATCATTAGAAGGACGTCATGGGCATATTTTTGGATATTTCTCAATGCTGGCAGAATGGTATTTTGTCCAAGGTCAACGAAACGACTTAGAAACTGATTGAGTACAGGTTGAGAGTAAAGGTAAACAAATCCCTTTGGAATATATTGATGCGTTTGGTTTGATTCATTCATTTGAGATTGAATAGAATTCATGATTCGTGTTCTGGTTTTGTTATTTTTTCCATGTTGTGATACAGTGTAAACTTTGAATGTTGATGAAATGAAATATCGACCCCTAAATAAAGTGCAACAACATTTTTATTTTACTTCATTAGTTAATTTTGATTGTTTTATAAATTAGCATGTTTACTATAAATAGCACTTCGAAGACATTATCAAATTTATAAATCTATGGAAGAGACTTAGAAATAATTGTAGTCGTAGTTAAAGTTTTTAGATAACATTAAACTAGTATCAAATTAAATAGCCTTATAACCTACTATGAATCTAAATTTAAATAATATTTTGCACTGAAGCGAAACAAACATTGGTTTTAAAGAAGAGAAGGAGCATGAATAGAAGGCCAAAGACCTTATTACAACATCATTAATTGGCAATTTCTATTGTAACATCGTCTTATAGATAATGTACAGTTTGAACCTATCAGCGTAGCATAAGAACCGCGATGCCTGTTAAATTGCATTGCAGTGCGACAGTCTTCACAAAAACGATGTATACAAATTTACTACGCATTCAAACAAATTAACTTCCAGCAATTGAATTAAACCAACTGATGGGTTGGTTTAATGGAAGGATACCTAACTGATTAACTGTATGCGTTTCTATTCACAGCGAGACTGCCCAAGTGGTTCGGTGAGCGGCCGGGCAAGAAGAAGGGCGAGCCGGAGTCGCCCGAAGGCGAGGAGGAACTCAAGGCTGAGCCCGAAGAGGAAGAGCCCGTATATGAACCCGAGCCAGAGGAAGAGGAAGAAGAAGTCGTAGAAGAGGAGGAGGAGGAAGAGGAAGAAGAGGAGGAGGAGGAGGAAGAGGAGGAGGAATAAGTGAGTTTGTCCACAATTATATCAGACTTTAGACAGATCAAATGAACTTCAATTAATGCATAAGGCAAAGACTCAAAGAAAATTGCCAAGCAACCAAAAAATCTCATAGATAAGATACATTTTGTATGTTATGGTGTAAAAATGTAGGCAGACCTTGAGAAAAAACATAATTATTATAAACCATAAATACGCTTACTGCACACCGAATGCAAAGTGAAGTTCGGTAGTAATTTTGGCAGTCAGAGTGCAATTATTTAAAATGCTGTAAGTAGATTATGATAGCTAATATAATTAGTCCTATACGGACAATACCAAAATGGTAAAAGCCGGCGAGAGTTAAGACTTGTATATCACATTAGGCGAGTCTCGAGCGTAGCAGTAAAATGAGTAATAAATTTCAAAGGAATCGAGAATTAACCACACCCTATGGCCACTTAGCAGACCTATAACTTTGTGACAATTACAGTGTGTAACTAAAGATAAAATTGCATATCTGTCGATGCTTTTCAAAACAAGTATCTTAGTGGCGTTATAATAAAGCAATAGTGGAACACTAAATAGCTCGGTGATTATAATTTCCAGATGGAACTGCTCAAATAGGCCTACTGGTCATAAGATTATATAATATGTATGCAAAGCTTTAATGTATGTCTGTATACCCATGTTTGTAAAATTAAATGATAGTGATAGGCCACAGTATATTTAGGGTACCAGAATCTTCAAAACTTTTGATTATGAATTCGCTAATTTAGTGTAAATATTTTGTTACAGATGTAAGGTATCACTCAAACGGGGAAGCTAGACAGCCGACACGGACCAGATGCGTCGGAGTATCCCGTCTTGTAACCAATCCATTAACTTATTATAAATTATTTTTACTATTTATACTGTTGAAAAGCTCGTTACGGACACATGGACTTTGCACTCGCATACACTCGCGTCACGAACAACTGTGGCCACGCAATAAACTAATTTATTTCATAAGACTGTAGACTCATTTTTCTTTACCCCCACCCCAGTCTGTGTGTATTTAAGTATATTTTTATACATAAATTAATATTTATGTTTGTTGTTTCGATACTGAAGTATTACTATAGCAAGTACTTGTGTCATGGAAATCGAAATCATATTAGAATGATGTATCAGGTATTTTTACCGATTAAGGGACAAATAAAACCCTATTAGAAAAAAGACGTAAGACGCAGACGGAGCGCGGACATTGTCCGTTTCATACAAAATGTAAAAAACAAAAGAAGCGTCGTGTGCGCGCCCTGACTTTTCTATAAGTTAGCGAGGCGACGCTTCCATACGTTTTGTATGAAAAAAACGCGGAACAGACATATGTATTCCCGCGCCCCGTCTGCGCCTTACGTCTTTTCCGTATGTCCCGCGCCTAAGAGGTGTTCAAGACTGTACTCTGGGAAGCTCTAATTATTCTTTCCGGACAAGAAATTAAACTCAACCAATTGCATTAAGGCAACGTTTATATGGTATTATTTCAATACGCAACAAGGTCAGTCTCATCACAAAAATAGTAAATCTTATAACGGACAACTCGTAAATTAACGACCTCCATGGCCGAGTGGTTTGTACGCCAGATTTCGTAATGTCGCCGAACTCGAGAGGTCCCGGTTCGAATGGGGGGGGGGGGGGGGGGCAGACGTTTGTGTTTGTACTCCAGTCATGGATGTTTAATATGTATTTCTGTATAAATATACTTTTATACGTAATGTATAATATATATTCTATCCGTTACCCTAGTATCCCATAACACAAGCCTTACAGTGCTTACTTTGGAGCTAAGCTAATTGGTGTGTGTTGGTAAAAAAAAAATTAAAGCATCTCAACTAAAACTATTACTATAAGATGAATATGAGAATTAGATTTTACTAAATTGTAGGATAACTGTGTAAAATTATAATAAAGAAATATGTGCGTAGATGTGCGCATAAATGAAAAGTCTTTTCATAGATAATATCGTAAATATATAATTCAAACATTGCTATAATCATGTATTAGAATAATTACATTACAACTATAACTGTGATCCATGATAACTACGGATATTACAAGAAAATAACTAATAAATAAAATAATAATATTTTGGACACCATTCAAGTATTTTTTAAGCGTTCTGTAAAAAATCTATTGAGTCTCCTACTCATTGTGTTTGTGTTGGACCGAAAAGTTACGCCAGTACTTAACTTAAAAACACTATAAGTAATATGACATCTCATTTTAAATGTAATATTAATAATATCAAATTCATTTAGAGATTACACATTTAATGATTACACTGTTAACTTCACCATATAAAGATTCGACTGAGAATTAATGGACTAACTCGTCCTTGTGTTCAGTGTAATAGGGTACATTTTGGTAGTTATCATAGATCGTGCCAGAATAAAGAATACTTGTCTAGGCGGCAGGGATGGGGTTGGCGGGAGGCTTCTGTGGCGACACCTTCTGCATCATGTTGATCTTATCACCCAGACTCAACGCCATGCCCTATGGAAGACCAAAAGTGTTAAAATGGGCTAACCAATACGTTGAAATCTTAAAATTTTTGAAGTTTTCAAAAAACTATAATCGTCTGTGTAATGGTTTCATTATTCAACTTAGAACACTAGTGGATTGTGAACAAATTATAAATACCTATAATATAAAAATATAAAATCAGAGAAATACAAATACACACAATTTTGTGGGCGGTCACAATTTTTGAACACTCTTAATAATCACATTTAGCATAATAGTGTATTTGTGAAAAAAATACTATCTTGAATAATATTAGTGTTCTGTGCCGAACCAATATCGAATTCGAATAGTTGAATTCAAGCTCGATACGCGTCGAATGTCAAGAAGTTTTGTATGGAAGATTTTTAACTCTCGTTACGTCCATTGGCGCTGTTCAAATTAGTACTGTACATTGACCAGCTAGTGTGATTCTATCTGTGAGAAATCTGTGTGACAAGGGCATGTAGGACGTAGGTGTAGCAAAACTTGCGAAAATAAAGTAACAAATCCATAACTGTAACACTAGCCATTCTATCCATCTCGCACAATAATGGTGTAGTATAATAGTGATAGTATGTGTAGTGTGGTGTAATATAGTATACCTGGCTCGTCGCTCGGATCCGCACGTGACCCACGATATGTGTGTTGGGTATGTGGGGTATAGTACAGTGATCGTATAGTGTGATGTAGTACAGTGATAGTATGTGTAGTGTGGTGTAGTATAAGAGCGATAGTATGTGTAGTGTGGTGTAATATAGTATACCTGGCTCTTGGCCCGGATCCGTACGTGTCCCACGACGGGCGCGTTCTGCTTGTGGAGCGGAGTCTCGATGCTGAGGTTGGCGAGCGCGTCCTCGCCGAATATCGAGCGCGCGTACAGATTCGCAGCCATGAAGCCGCACTGACCAGACAACGCCTAACGAATCAAACCAAATACTATGTTACGCTAGCCAACGAATAAGAAATTATATGGAAGCATCACTCTCTAACAAAGGCCGCTAAAAAGTGGTTCCAAACTCATACAACTAAACTTTAATACGAACACGACACGCACACAAACGATGTAAAATATTTTGATAAATCAAATATCTGCAAATAATTTTAAACGAAAATCCCAACCAATACTTGTCCTGCTCACCTGATCGCGTGAAACCACTCTTTAACGCAGTTCGTATTCCATATTATGTCTGATTCGTTGATGCTAAAACTATGAATGGCTATTGGTATTTGCTAATTATTATACATTTGATGGTAGTATATCCTTATCACACTCGATAGGTAATGAAAAGGAGAGATTGCTGGCAAATTTATGAATAACCTTGTGAAATGCCAGCATCAAAAGGGAGCCAAACAAGCATAGGGGCAGCATGATGGCAAGCAGCCGCTGCAATACCGTAAACACACACTCATTACTTACGAAAACCACGTCCCCATTTTGTAAGAAGAATTATAAACAAACATTATACCCCAAAATTAAATAAAGGTCACGGGAACTATCCAATGTTTATAACATTTTATTTAACCCATCTGGAGTAAGCAAAATCATACCAATTTATGCCATCGCGTGAAACAATTTACTAACGCGGAAATATTTTATAAAGTTGAATATACAAGTCGACACAGTTCAATTATTAGGATATTCACACGCATTGTAAAAAGACTTCTTGCGTACATTACTCTAAGATACTAGAGATATTCACACATTTATTTTGCCTCCTGTGAATAAAACGAAATAATTAATCACACAAACATTCAATATTAAAACGTAAAAGAATAAAAATCGCCAATTTCCTTTGTCGTTTTAAAAGGCTGTAAATCATTATTTTATATGAAATATATCCTATCTTTACTTATAGTGAACAGAAGAAAGAGATAAGGTACACTTATAATGAAATAAAATAAATGTAACATCTACCTTATCTGGAGTAAGGCACTTCATGTTGGTAGACGCTAGAAGATGGTCGAGATATTCGCGCAGATCTGTGATGTTTGTGTTCACAGACACCTGGAAGAGATAACTTATTTCAGTTTCTATATTCATAGTTATACATGCTAAATTCTACCAAAGGTACAGACAGACTGTCCATAATTCCCTTAATCTTATATTCTGCAGTATAAAGTTTTAGTCAGTTGTGGAAATTGAATAGTTTTGTGTAAAATTGATTTGGGTAAGTATATAATACTAGAAAATTACAAACAAAAACGGAAACTCTGCTTCTTTTTCTTCTAAATGTCAGCAATATTCCCTTACCAGTCTATGACGAAAGGGTCATGTTCATTTTTTCTCTCTTCTTTGGGTAGGTAAAGCTTAAGCCATTCAGTCTCAACGTAAAGTTCATTTGATCATCATTTGATACTCTCGTCGACCTAGATGAGACGTGCTAGCAGACTAGGCTCGCTTTGCCACGGATGAACACTACCCTCTCCAAGACTCTTCTATAGCTAAGCAGACCTACACTGCGCATGGTAACAAAGTCTATTACCGGATATGCTCAATTTAACAGACATCTTTTAAACTTAGATGTCACGGACAGGATGCATAGGATGCATGGAGGCAGAAGAAACAACTACTCACGTTCTGCTGGAATGCTCATCGGGCAACCTTCAAGAGGCAATGAAGTCGGCGTCGCTACAGACTGCGGGTTGGATGTTGTCCCTGTAATATGATCTGACCTTGTTCTCCCACTCGAACTCTGCCCACATGGTCCTGAAGTCGGCGTCGCTACAGACTGCGGGTTGGATGTAGTCCCTGTGATATGATCTCACCTTGTTCTCCCACTCGAACTCTGCCCACATGGTCCTGAAGTCGGCGTCGCTACAAACTGCGGGTTGGATGTAGTCCCTGTGATATGATCTCACCTTGTTCTCCCACTCGAACTCCGCCCACATGGTCCTGAAGTCGGCGTCGCTACAGACTGCGGGTTGGATGTAATCGACGATATCGATGTGCACGTCGTTGAGCACCACCACGCCGCGGTCCATCGACGCGCCCGTCACTTCGTACACTGGACCGATCATAATGACCCATTAACGATCATAATCTATGCACGAATGGATTGAAACGGAATGGAAACGAGTTACGGCCACTATCACAGAACACAGAGGTTGGAAGGGTGATCGTAGACCGTTTGTACGGGCACCGACATCGCCCTTCTAACTTCTTTCTGTGTTCCGTGGCCATATAGTAATTTATGTTATTTACGGGATTGCTACCTTTTTTTTAGTACCGGAAACTTCTTAAAATCAAGATATGTGTAGGTACACTATTATGTAGTAGCTAAAATTACTAAAATGTTAGTGACACTAAAAGTTTAAATAATCAAACTCCAGTAGAATAAAAGTCTATTAGAGCTTTGTTGGTTTCATATTTTTTAATTATTATAATGACATCCATTACGACAAATCAAGAAACGGAACCAGATTATCTTAACCTTTTAGTGGAGGTTGATTATTTCAACTGGCCGTAAACAAGTAGGAATGACGAGTTAAAGTAAACGAAATTCTATTTTCTCCGTCAGTAACATTATCAAAAAATAATGGACATTTATTTCTTCTTTTGTCTCTGTAATGTTTTGATTGCGTAAAAAAATAAAAAAGACATGTCCAATACTTTTTGATGATGTACCTGATAGACGAAGGGCCGTCCAACGGCATTGTTACACGGAGGGAAAGTATACTAAACGAGTTTGATTCCCGGTTATGGCAGGCGATTTTCAAAAGGTCTATAAATGCAGTTCTACTTATTATTAAAAATAAAATTGTTTTCCTTCAGTAAAATCTCTTATCTTCAATATTTAACACACTTTCCCTCCGTGTGACAATGCCGTGGGACACTCTGTATAACCAAACGCCTATAATATGGTATCACACGACTGTACCCCATCCTTATCATCAGCTTATTAATGCCTCTAACTGCTGGGACACAGGCCTTCCTTCTGGACGTCATAGGGAAAACAGACACGATGATGATGGGTACACTGAATCATATATACCCCCCCCCCCCGCCCCCCCTCACCTATGTTCCCGAATATGACGGCGTTCTCGGTGGAGGCCACCTTGACATGTGCCCGTATGGAGGCATGGCACCGCGGCGCCAGCACGACGCCCCCAGGCCGCTCCACGAGCCGCAGCTCCCCCAGCGTCGCCAGCTCCACCATGCAATTCTGCAGCGTGTCGTCTAGCAAACGAACGAATATGAAATAAAATATAAATAAACTTCATTCAACTTGTTAAATTTTTATTTATTAAAGTGAAACTTCTTTAGCCCTGCTTGACTTAGAGGGTAAACTGGCGAATGCGTTACGATTGGTGTCAATGGTGATACATCGGTAAACAATGAACAATTTAGGCACGCTTGACTTGGGAGGTAAACTAGCGAATGCGTTACGAGTTACGAAAAGTGTCACCGATAGAAATTTCACTTCAGTCGTGTGATCATAAGCACACTCGCTTTTTTTTTTGTTTCTTAGGTTTCAACACACCCCACGCATTAAATAAAACAGGTTGCAACGGTATAGATGCACTGATTTATCTATTTATGACGTGTCGCATCCTCTTCAGGCTGCGTCATCAGAATTATGATTTTATTTACTTTGTCAAACTACCTTCGAAAGACTTATTGAGCGTTCGGATATTTCATTAGAAGATTTTTAAAACTCGACAAAGTAAATAAAATCATAATTCTGACGACGCAGCCTGAAAAGGATGCGAATCGTCATAAAGAAATAAATCAGTGCATATATACCGTTGCTTATTTATATTTTTATTTTTCAAACATTTAACTGCTATAATGTTTAAATATTAAGAAAATTTTCTGGTATAATGGTCAATGACAATCGGCCGGATAGCAAAATGTGCGGATTCGTGTCCCGTCTACAGCATTTTTTTCTAGTAAATATTTCTTTAGATTCATTCGACTAGATTTATTACAAAGTTCTTTTAATGGCCTGCGCAGACGAAAGACTTTTGTCCGCGGAGGACGACGAGGAGAAGGCCCTCAATCGTGTGCAAATTTTCCGCCGAGGTGACTTAAAGTCACTGACTTAAAGCAGACATCACACGTATGCGAACAATCGTTGCCCGAAAATTTTAAGAAACGCGCGCTATGGAAATAAATTACAACGTAAATATTTAAGAAAAAGAAAACACACACACACAAAAAGACAAGCAAACACAGTTACATGCTTTAAAAATAATAAAAATTATAACTATAATTGCTATTTTCTTCTTTCAAATACCGTTTTAAAGTGGAAAATTGGATCCACCCACTAACTTTCGTTGTTGAGGAGACTTTTGTATGCGATATTGATGATTTTGTCAATGCATTTTGGACATTTTGACAAAAGTCTCTCGTCTGCGCAGGCTTTGAATCGTCCAAATTGTTTCCTACCACGTGCAAATGAATATTTTAGTTACTTTTATTGTATCTTATCATATGGCATTTTATTCTGGGGAACAGCAGCTGATATTGAAAATATATTTATTCTACAAAAAAGAGCTGTGAGAACTATTTAAAGAAATTAATATTGTCACAAACGCTCTCGAAACGTAACCGTGAAAGTGCTAGAGATCGAATTTGCCAGAACACCGCGGGTCGCGATAGAGGTCGAGTAAGGCGGCATTCTAAAATGAGCCTTATGCAGTGCGGCATAAGGGAGAAAGTGCAACGACATCTGCACTTGTTTACAAGTTATGCGTGTTACCTGCGTAGGTATAAGTAGGTATTTCGTACTCGCGGGTGCTAGGTAATTCTCAATTTAACAGGTACTTTCTAGAATGCGTCGATCGACGTATACAAGCGCGATTGGCGCCGCACAGGGACAGTTGAGTTTCAACGGCGATTTCGGAGCGAATCCAAAGGCGATCAAAGTGCAACAAAAGTGCTCAAGTGAGATTGTTTAGAGACTTTTATAGTGAAATACAGTGTTTAGTGAGTGTTTTATGATAACATTGTGTGTTAATTGTGTGAACTGTGTGGTGAATAAAGAACTGTCAAGCGTGAACTGGCATATAATTTCGAACCCCATCCCGACACGTAACAACTGGTGACAGAAGTGACATGCCAATCACACCGCGTGAAGGAAGCGAAGGCGTACGCACTCGACGGCAGGCCGTAATTGACCATTCGCGGAAGTCGGAAGCAGCGGCGCTTGATGAAGAAACTGGCACACCACAGGCTGCTCACCACAGTGGTGTTACCACTACTGCCACGCCGCCTACGCTCGACTTGTCGACATTGATGGCAGCTATACAGTCTATTTGCGTGGACGTCAAGGCGAGTCAACGAGAAGCTATCGAGGACGTCAAGGCGAGTCAACGAGAAGCTATCGAGGACGTCAAGGCGAGTCAACGAGAAGCTATCGAGGACGTCAAGGCGAGTCAACGAGAAGCTATCAAGGACGTCAAGGAGGACGTGAAGGCAGCTATTGACTCGAAATTTGAAGCATTGCAAACAACTTTGTGCGCCCTCCAAGACGAAATAGAATGCGTAAAGAGTCGTACCAACAAACACCAGGAGGCCCTAAACAAACACCAGGAGAGCATAGGTGAATGCAAGGAGACTCTACAGGTCCATGAGAAAATGTTAAGGGACCTCCAAAAAACCAAAGTCATCAGCACTGCCATAGCAACCACAGGTTCTACAGCACCAAAGTTCAAGGTACCAGCGTTTGATGGTACAACTTCTTGGACGGCATTCAGACACCAATTTGAAGTCGTAGCCAAAGGGAACGGCTGGGAGGACGAACATGCCCTGACCGCACTCACTCTTGCGCTCAGGGGTGATGCTCTTCTGATATTGGAAAATGTACCAGCCGATCAACGAAGTTTGGAAACTCTCCTCAAAGCTCTGGAGGCTCGTTACGGGGATAAACACCTAGAACATGTGTATCGAGCGCAACTAAAAGAACGGTCTCAGAAACCAGGAGAAGGATTGCAGCAGTGGGCCACGGAGAGTGAACGACTGGTGCGTCGCGCTTATGCGTCCAGTAAGACATCCATAGAAGACATTGTAGTTCAAGCTTTTGTGGATGGTATAAGAGATCACGAAGTAAGAGCGGCCGTTCGATTGGGACATCACAATGCCCTGGAAGCTGCTTTAGCGCACGCCCTGAAGGTAGAAGCAGTACGCAATGACTACAAGACACACAGAGTGCGAGAAGTTGTTGCAGCAGTCAAGCCTCGAGGTGGACCAATGTGCTATGGATGTGGAGAACGAGGGCACATCAGGACCAACTGTCCGGTCCAGCGAAGAAACCGGGCGATGTCAACCGGTACTGAGGTTGATGAAAGGGAAGACTCGTTAAACTAATCGGGGCCAGGGCTGCGGGGCGGGCACTGGCTGGACTTCATTTAGCCCCCACAGTACGAGTGTCACAGGCAGGTAATGGAAATAGTCTCGTAACCGCAGGAGAAATAAACGGCAAGCCTGCACAACTTACAATTGACACAGGGGCATCGAAAACTATCGTACGGCCGGAACTTCTCAAGCGTACAATTATGTGGCAAGATAAAATATCTACGTGTCAATTGCAAACAGCTACAGGCCCGCCAGTGACCGTCCTGGGAGTGACAGATATCACATTGAAACTAGGAGACAAAATCTACAGACAAAGCGTCTTGGTCGCTAACGTAACGGACGACTGTATACTCGATATCGCTAGAGGAGTATTGAATTTTCCGGATCAAGAAATAGTTCTGGAAGGAAACCCTCCACCAGTGGTCTACAACGTCAGAACGGTTACCCTACCAGCGAGGTCAGACATTGGTAGAAGTCAAGTTTCCGGAAGGAGCGTCACTGAATCGATGTGTCGTAGTAGAAGATACCGGGAGTCACCCTAGTTGGATCACGGCTAGAACCTTGACCATGACTAAGAGAGGGGCAAGGGTAAAAATCGTAAACACTAGCAACACTGCGATACAGTTATGGAAGAACACGGTCATCGGACGATGCGCAGGTGTAGACTACATGAGGAGAACTCAATAATGCTGTAGAGAACCACCTTCAACGAGGCACATGAATCCGTTACTGGAGAAAATGAAGACAAGTTTGCCACATAACTTGTATAATGAAGCCAAGCAACTAATATTAGACTACAAGGACATCTTTTCAAATGGAGAAAATGACCTTGGGAGGACTGGCCTTGTCAAGCATTTAATCCACACCGGTGATACACAGCCTATCAAACAAAGACCTAGACGAGTGCCTCTGGCAAGAGAACAGGAAGTAGCGGACATGATTCAGAAGATGTCACGTGATAAGGTCATCGAACAATCAACTAGCCCCTGGTCTTCTCCAGTAGTATTGGTGAAGAAGAAAGACGGCAGCACCAGGTTCTGCGTGGACTTCAGAATGCTCAACAATGTGACCAAGAAGGACAGCTATGCATTGCCTCGTATTGACGACACATTGGACATGTTGGGAGGCATGAAGTGGTTCTCCACAGTTGACCTGAAGAGTGGCTACTGGCAGGTGGAACTTCGCCCAGAGGATAAAGAGAAAACTGCATTCACTACTGGTACTGGAAAAGGGCTGTGGCAGTTTCGGGTCATGCCCTTCGGATTGTGCAACGCACCAGCCACTTTTGAACGACTCATTGAACGTGTGCTGGTGGGGTTATTGGGGGATGCTTGTCTGGTGTACCTGGACGATGTGATCGTTATGGGACGCAGCTTCACGGAACACTGGAGGAATCTAGAGAAAGTATTCAGAAGATTCCGCGAGTCAAACCTGAAGCTCAATCCAGAAAAGTGCGCGTTCTTCAAGAAGGAGGTAGCCTTCTTGGGGCACATAATATCTGACAAGGGTGTCCAAACTGATCCTGAAAAGGTAAAAGCTGTGCAGGAATGGCCAACACCGAGAAATAAGACTGAAGTGAGAGCTTTTCTAGGCCTATGTGCGTACTACCGCAGATTTGTGAAGAACTTCTCTGAGATAGCCAGGCCATTACATCGTCTCACGGAAGTGAAGAGAAACTTCGTTTGGGATACAGATTGCCGGCGCTCTTTCACGAAGTTAAAGGATTTACTTTGTTCTGCACCAATCCTAAGCTATCCACGAAGAGAGGGAAGATTCATTGTGGATACTGATGCTAGTAATACTGGAATCGGCGGAATACTGTCACAGGAACAAAATGGACAACAAGCTGTTATCGCTTACTTCAGCAAGTCTCTTTCAAA